TGGCAGTCCGGAGTCCAGCAAACCAGCCCCCGCGTGGCGAGCAGTTCATGTCACCACCCGAGAAGGTCGAGCCTCCGACACAACACAAATTGAATCAGGAATCTCTAGATACATGGGTCTATCCCACCAATCTGGGGAAATCCAGAGATTACCAGTTCAACATCGCCCAGAAAGGATTGTTTCATAACCTGCTCGTTGCGCTGCCCACTGGTCTAGGTAAAACCTTTATCGCAGCCACTATCATGTTAAACTGGCTACGATGGACCAAAGACGCTCAGATCGTGTTTGTCGCTCCTACGAAACCGCTAGTCGCTCAACAGATAGACGCATGCTTTCAAATTGCAGGAGTTCCACGATCCCAGACCACAATGCTCACCGGCGAAGCTTCCCCTGGCATCAGAGCTGAGGAATGGAAGGCTAAACGCGTGTTCTTCATGACCCCTCAGACCTTAGTCAATGATCTTAAGACCGGGATTGCAGATCCTAAGCGCATCGTTTTGCTTGTTGTAGACGAGGCGCATCGCGCCACAGGAGGGTATGCCTACGTGGAAGTTGTTAAATTTCTTCGACGCTACAATCAAAGTTTCCGTGTCCTGGCTTTGACTGCAACGCCTGGCTCCACGGTGGAAGCCGTCCAGGCAGTAATTGATGGGTTGGACATTTCCCGAGTTGAGATCCGCACGGAACAATCCCTTGATATCCGGGAATATGTTCATGCAAAGGACATAGAGGTGCAAACTTTCCAGAATTCCGAGGAAATGGTTCTGTGCATGGATTTATTAACGAAGACTCTCCAACCTTTAGTTGATCAGCTTCGGAGTCTCAATGCTTACTGGGGCCGTGATCCTATGGGACTTACGGCATTCGGACTGACAAAAGCCAGACAGCAGTGGATGATGTCAGACGTTGGTCGGAATGCACATTTTGGGTTGAAGGGCAAAGTAAATGCTATCTTCAGCGTTCTTGCCAGCCTTGCCCATGGAATCGACCTTTTGAAATATCACGGAATCACTCCGTTCTACCGTCACCTTGCACATTTTCAGTCCAACACTGAAGGGCAGAAGGGTGGCAAATATCAACGACAAGTTGTCCAAGATGAAAGTTTCAAAAAACTTATGAACCATTTGCAGCCATGGACTAAGAACCCAGAGTTCATTGGCCATCCCAAGCTGGAATACTTGAAGCAGGTTGTCTTGAACCATTTCATGGACGCGGGCGAAGGTGCGGGCACAGGCGATGACCAGGCGAAACCAGCAACCAGAGTCATGATCTTCGTGCATTTCCGGGACAGCGCCGAAGAGGTGACGCGAGTCCTCAAAAGGTACGAGCCGATGATTCGGCCCCATGTCTTTGTCGGACAGAGTAGCGCCAAGGGCTCAGAAGGAATGAACCAGAAAACTCAACTCGACATTGTGCAGAAGTTCAAGAGCGGCACTTACAACACGATCGTTGCAACTTCGATAGGTGAGGAAGGTCTGGATATCGGCGAGGTCGACCTGATCGTTTGTTACGATTCATCCGCGTCACCAATTCGCATGCTTCAACGCATGGGACGTACCGGTCGAAAGCGAGCGGGTAACATTGTGCTGCTTCTGATGCAAGGCAAGGAGGAAGAGTCCTATATCAAGGCTAAGGACAATTACGAGAAGATGCAACAGATGATTGCTAGCGGCACCCGATTTACTTTTCATGAAGACCAGTCCCCTCGTATCCTTCCCTTGGGGATCCGGCCTGTAGCTGATAAACGGGCGATTGAAATACCCGAAGAGAATACTGTGCGAGAGCTACCTGAGCCCAAGCGAAAAGGACGCCCTCCCAAGAGGCCACCCAAAAAGTTCCACATGCCGGACAATGTGGAAACAGGCTTCACGAAAGCGTCCAGCTTGGCTGAAGGCGGCAAGCGTAGGGAAGCAAAGAAAAGTAAGGCTCGCACGCCGACTCCGGAGCCCGTTGATCTCCCAGCGCTCGAAGATGTCCTGCTTACTCCAGCGCAGCAAAACGAGCTTGATGTTCATTACGGCAAGGCAGGACAGTCCGATGCACCGTCAATCTGCAATCCTCGAACTGACGCTTTCCCGCGCCTTCAGCTCGCTCCTCGGCCTACTAAAGCAGTAAAGCATGGGTCTCTGACTCGCCGCATGATTGGGACTCTGCAGAAAATGGATCAGATTTCCGCGGACTGTGAGCAGCAATATAGGCGTGTCTTAGCGCTGAGTCCGGACAAGTACGAGGATATTCCAGGCACCACCGGTGACATGAGCAGCCGTGAGTGTGGTGCCAGGCGCACCCAGCGCACAGTATCCGATTTTGTTCTCCCCGTGAAACGCAAGACAAATGGGGAAGGGGATGGCACAGATAAAATCCCAAGGAATTCGAAGAAACAGCTCTCGGCTGTAGAGACAGCGGCAGACGATTCATTATTCTGCTCACAAATGACGGAGGACATGGGTGAAGACTTCCCTGACATGTCTACTCTTTTGGACAGAAGCGTTGAGAAAAAGCGGCGGAGCCGCCAATTCGTCATGAGCGATGATAGCGACGTTTGATGGTGGACTTTTCTATTTGGTTAAGTGTCCGTTCACATTGGACATTACTTTTCAGCAGGATATACCCTTCGATTGATAGAAAAGGTTGGCTTACCCTTTTCCGCCTTGGGCATCAATGTTGTATGACCCTGCAATGTACTCCCATAGTGGGCCATGGAGAGCTCACTCAGCGTGACGAACACCATACTGCCTGGCTCGACCATGAACTTGATGCCTGCTTCAGCCTGCATCTTGGGACGTCCAATGTCAGTTTGTGTCCTTCCAACATACCATGTCCGGCCGAGCGGGTTTCCACACGAATTGATTATTGAAGAGTTCACAGCATCATGACTTGGAAGCCACAGAAAGTCTCAGTGAAGCTGGTTGGTCTAGTCTGGATCTCTAGGTCACCATGTTCGAGATACTTACGTGCACATGAAACTGTCTTGTTAAGAATTAAGAATTGCAAGCACTGGAAACTGCAGTATCTACCCGGCGAGAAGCGATGAGCGGCATTCCATACGGCTACCTAATATGCCTCCGGTGGTGGTATCAATGGAAATAGCCTCGGTGCGATACTTTAGCGTAGCTGGGGAGTCGTCAACGCACTGCTCTAGACACAGACGGATATTTCGAGAAATCATACTTGATCGCTTTTCACTTGCCTATCTTTGCCTTGATCACTTTGGTAATGTTATCCCGCTTCAGTAGGCTGCTATCATTGAAGAGCCAGAAAAGCACCGATATCTCTCTGACAGCAAGGCATATTCCTGTAGTGGTTTGCAATAGCCCTCCATAAAAGCCAGGACCTTTTCTTATTGAAGCAGAGCTTTGTTGAGGCTCTTTCCAAGCACGGACAAGGCAAGTCAAAGTATATACTTGGTGGAGTGATAAGGGGGAGGGAGGCCTCAATCGACCCGCTTTCTCCAACCAGCCGCGCTACACCGCTTACAGTAATCCACCGTCACAGCTGAGGTCCGTTCGGTCTCCCCCGGGCTTGAAAGGTAACTGGGAAGTAAACAGCAACCTAAACACTACTACAATATTGAATTCCAACAACCCGTCACAATCATGGCTGACGCACAATATGATAGTGCGCTGTAAGTGTGTCTTAGCTGAGCCCTTCATTCAACACTTCACCTTCCCCCAACTCCCCCGAGCAAGCTCCCCTCTCTATCCGCATCGGCGAAGGTCAACCCCTCGCCGTGCAACCCCGCTTGCAGCATCCCGCTGACCACCAACATCGTGCTGCTCCCAGGGACCTGCTCCGGCGCCTCAACCCCCGCGATACCAAGCAGAACTTGCAAGCAATCACCACCATTGTCCCTGACCTGACCGAGGATCTTTTATCGTCCGTTGATCAGCCCCTGGAGGTCCGCCGCTGCCCCAAGACCAACCGGGATTACTTGCTCTGCGACTACAACCGGGATGGCGACAGCTACCGGTCACCCTGGAGCAACGAATTCGACCCCCCTCTCGATGACGGAACAGTACCCAGTGAGCGGGTGAGAAAGCTCGAGGTTGCTGCTAACGAGGCCTTCGATGTCTACCGGGAGCTATACTACGAGGGCGGCGTGGGAAGCGTCTATTTCTGGGACTTGGATGATGGGTTTGCGGGTGTGATTCTTCTCAAGAAAGGTGCGTCAGCTTCTATCTCCTATACTGAAAAAGCGGAGGACTCGTGGAGCTTGGTTACAGGAAGGTGGACAAAATGATGGTCGGGCTCGTTGCTAACGCGATGTGGTACGGCAATAGGAGTCACCCCTGGTGCGAAGAGCTCGGGAGAGTGGGACAGCATCCACGTCTTCGAGGCTACTGACAGAGCTCGCATGTCCCACTACAAATTGACCAGCACGGTCATCCTCCACCTGGCGAACGAGTCCGAGGCTCTGGGTGAGATGGACCTCAGCGGTAACATGACCCGCCAGGTCGAGGTCGATCTGCCCGTTGAGTCGGATGCAAGCCACGTTGCAAACGTCGGCCGGCTTGTGGAGGATATGGAGTTGAAGATGAGAAACCTGCTGCGTATGTGTTTCAATTTCTCTGCGCCCAGACGCAAGCGCATACATTACGGGATGAAGACTAATGTGGACATTCTTGCAGAGGAGGTATACTTTGGCAAGGCCAAGGATGTTGTCGGTGAACTGCGCAGTGAGTTCTCCTGCTGCGGGAATGCATGGTACCATAATACTGATGTGTTGCAGGTCTTTCGTCCTTGACAGAGGCGAACAAGGAGCGGGCTAATCACGCCGAGATGATCAGATCCATGCAGCGGTAGCCACATTCATTGCTTGGAGTTGTAAAAGCAAGCGGATGTTTAACCTGTCAACATCACCTAGACGTTCGTCTTTCTATCCCGCGAGTTTGCCATTCACTTAATTGTATGTAGTTCTAAGGTTCCTGGGGAGCCGATCTTGGTTTGACTCTGGCGCTTTTATTGTAAAGATCTCACTTGAGCCTAACAATGGCTCAAAGCTTCGTCGTGCGGAATTAACACAATTGTATAAATAAGCTTGGGTATCATAAGACTCGTACTTTTAACAAACCATTGTCCACGCAAATGGTTGTTGCGATCCTCCAATCGTCGACACCCGAATGCAGGAATCGATAGCATCTGCTCAAAAGCATGCGTGCGCCTCATTCAGACTATCGTTCATCAGTCCATCTCAATGTCTTCCTGCCCACCCTCCATTTTCAACTCATGTCTAGCGGTTGCCGACGATGGCCCATGCCGAGCGAGCTGCTCGACAAACTCCCTTGCCGCAGCCCACAGCTCTGCCTCCTTATCTTTCCCGACCGTGTCCTTCCGACTGTTGAGCCAGCTCACATCCAACGGGTTTGACGATGCGGCCGCCGCTGCCGCACCAGCCCCGGCTAACTCGCCTGTGCGGGGGTTCGTTGCGGTCGCGGCCGTCTCCGGCGCGAGAATCCCGGCCTCCTCGAGGGCGTACACCTGTCGTCGCAGTCGGACATCAATGGACGAGAGAAGCGCAAAGTACTGCGATGTGGCCTCTTTGAAGCGTGTTTTGTGGGCGGCTAAGGAGTTGTTCTCAGCAGGTGAGTCGGTGGTTCGGGCGTTAGTAAGGGCTTGGATAGCGAGACCGGCGGAGTGAATCAATTGAGCGACATCCTTAACACAAGTCCAATTTAGTACACGGTCTCAGATAGTATTGCAGTGCGAGTAGTGAGTAGTTTGAGTTTCATCTTCGAGTAGGATGCACGTTGTCGCAGCTCTCGCTTCTCCAGAGGGTAGGTAGCTTACTTACCTTGTCGATCTCATTAAGCTGCCGAATGCGATCGGCGGAAGTGAAGATTTGGTCTGGAGACCTAGAATTGTTGCCGGACTCGGCCATGGTGCTCTGGGCAGTGTCAGGCACAGGGTGAATTGCAGCAATATGCCAGTGATTGCTCTTTGATGACGATAGGTGCATAAACGGGGCTCCTGTGCTTCTATCCATGATTGAGCATAGCATATCATCACGTGATGGGACCAGGGGCCAGCCACACGCTAGTTCACAAAAGGGATAGTGTCCTTAAGCTGCGGACTTCGCAAAACCTCCGGATTGAATCGCATCCCGAACTGCTTTCCCTCCCCGTCCGCGTGTCGGTCTCTTCCTCTCTCTTTGCTAGTCTCTTCTGAGCGCCGTCGCATCTTTCGCTTTAGTGAACTGGACACCTCCTTTGCTCGGCATATAGGAGCTTTTGCCCCCCACCCCACTGTTGAATTACCCTTGTCAGATCATCCAGCAGCCATGTCTGCGCCAGGCGGGGCCCCGAGCCCAGCTCCCCGAAGTGGAAGTATGGGGCCCGGTCCAGGTGGGATGTCGATGCCTCCTCAACAACCCATGACCAACACCGGCCCTGTGACGCCTGGCCCCCCTGCTCCGCCGCCGCCGCCGCCGGGGGGTCCAATGTCGCAGCAAAATCTCAATCAAATAGTACGTATTCGTCTCTCACTTCTGGGTCTGTTGTGTCCTGTGCCGCGGAAGGTGGTTCTTGCGGGTTCAGGCATGTTGTCGTGCATTCACTTCGCAGATGTCGCAGTGAAGGTGCAGTGAAGGTGCCGTGAAGGTGCCTCAAATTGCTTACCGTCCACCGGCCGCTTTCACAAAGAGAGACAAGCTAGAGAAGCTGTTAAACATGTGAATCTGGTTATCCTTTGGGCTTCAAGTGTTGCTGGGTATCATCGCCTCTTCAACTAGGAAGGCTCCTGCTGTGATATCTATATTAGTTGATATCAGCCAAAGTCTTATGATCGGTGCTTCGTCAAATGCTGACACAAATGTCTAAAAACCAGGTCATTGACTATTTGGCCAAGAAAGGCTATAGTCGCACAGAGGCTATGCTGCGTATAGAATCGGCGCATCAAGAGATTGATGGCCGCCCGCCTATGCCCCCTCTTGGCGAAGATGCGCGTCCTAAGTACCGGCTTGGTTTCGGTAAGTTCGTCCTACTCTTGTTCTAATTTGTCTAATGCTGTTATAGATCTGCTGAAGGTCTGGGTTGAAGATAACTTGGATCTGTACAAGGTATGCCCTTCGTACTAAGGCCTGCAGATGAATAATGCTTACAAACCCTCGACAGCCTGAACTCAGACGTGTGCTGTGGCCGCTCTTTGTCTACACCTTCATCAACATGGTGTCCTCGTTTAAGCCTCAAGAGGCGAAACAATTCTTCGACATGAACAAGAACCTCTTCTTGCCGGAGCACACAGAAGATGTTCGCGCTTTGGAGCCAATCAGTCTCCCAGAACATGTTCAGGACAACGCTACTGCCAAGCTCTATAGAACTAACAAGTACCGCTTGGTCTTAAGTAACCCGGCATTCTCAAACCTGATGCAATTCTTGGAGAGCAAGCAGAAGGAGGGCGGATCTGATATGACTGCCATCCTGAGCAGTTACTGTACCATTATCACAAAAGAGCGCACTTCCGACGACCGATTTAGTTTCGCCGCGATGCTCGGCCAAAGTGATGGCACCCAGACCTTTCCCAGCGAAGATGAGGGTATTCCTGGTCATCACCCCGGGTCTGCTTACACCGGAGATAACCCGAACATGGCCGGAACCTTGCCTAGACTGAAGCTTGGAAAATTACCACTTGAGTCGACCCTGGAGACTGATATACGCGGCGAGCTCGCGGACGAAGACGCCAAGCATCCTCCTGGCCCGGGCCAAAACACTTTGATCCAAGAGTTTGAGCAGATGATCAAGAAAGAGGACGACGAAGAGGCACCTACTCGCGCTGATATCCCCTATCCCCCATCAACCGCTCGAGATGTCGCGATCGAGGTTCAAAAGGTCAAAGAGAACCGCGACAGGTTTAGGATCGAAGGTAGAACCGGTGGTGTTGGGCCGGCCGTTAGTGTCTGCATGTTTACATTCCATAATACCTACGATGGGTGAGTGGTACTACCTTCGGGCTTGTTATGATGTCCCGCGACTGACTATACACAGCGTCAACTGCCTGGACTTCTCCGATGACCTTATGCTCGTTGCGGCTGGTATGCAGGAGTCTTATATTCGGGTCTGGAGCATGGATGGGAAGAAGATCCAGTCGACGTACGACAATGTGGATGATGCGCCCTCAAATTCTCGTCGCCTAATTGGGCATGCTGGACCCGTCTACTCTGTAGCATTCGCGCCTTCTATTACGCGTGCCGACAATGCCATTGCGCCGACTAATGCCCGTTGGTTGCTCTCTTCATCAGCCGATCGAACTATCCGTCTCTGGTCCCTGGATCTGTGGCAATGCATGGTAGTTTACAAGGGCCACGATCAGCCCGTCTGGGATTTGCAGTGGGGCCCATTCGGCCACTACTTCGTGTCTGGTGGCCATGACAAGACCGCTCGCCTCTGGGTCACCGACCACATTCGTCAACAACGTATCTTCGTCGGACACGACCAGGATGTCGACTGCGTCTGCTTTCACCCCAACTCGGCGTATATCTTCACCGGTAGCTCCGATCACACCGTGCGCATGTGGGCCGTGACTACAGGAAATGCCGTCCGTATGTTTACTGGCCACACAGGAAACATCACAGCTCTTTCGTGTAGCCGTGATGGAAAGCTCCTCGCATCAGCCGATGACCACGGGTCGATCCTTCTTTGGGACCTGGCCCCAGGACGACTTCTCAAGCGCATGCGCGGTCATGGCAAGGGTGGCATTTGGTCCCTCAGCTGGAGCGTCGAATCGAATATTCTAGTGTCTGGTGGTGCTGACGGTACCGTCCGCGTCTGGGACGTGGCTGGTCCTGCACAGGATCCGTCTCAGGGTCGGGTTGTCGGTGAGGGCGGCGCAGGAACCAAGGTCGACGGCGGCAATCCCCCTGCGGCCAGCACACAAGCCTCCAGCTCCGTCGGACCTGGCATTGGAAGCAAGAAGAAGGGCAAGGATGTGGTCGTAACGCCTGACCAGATCAGCGCGTTCCCGACCAAGAAAAGTCCAGTATACAAGGTCAAGTTCACCAATATGAATCTGATCATGGCTGGAGGTGCTTATCTTCCTTGAAAGGGGTCGACGGAGGAGAAGGGTTGTGTGAATTGCATGCACAGTGGCGCCAGATACCCGTTTCTCTTTATCTTTTCTCTTTGTTTATTTCAATTTTATCACCCCAATTTGCTTTCTTGTCGAGACATCTTGTTTCCTCCCTGGTTGCATTGCCGCATGTATTCGTTAATGATTTGGCTGAATGATTTGGCGGCGTCCTGGATGGAAAACGCAAATGGAATGGCCAGCGGGCTTTTGGTGTTTATTTGGCAAGCAGCATTTTGTTTCAATGTTGGGGCGGGAACCTTTGCGAAGAAACGAGAACACAACAACACAGATCTCATTATAGTCTGTACATTTTTTTCTTCATACCTGAATTTGCACCTATACACAGATAAACCCTCTTAAAAAACATACAAGGCATACAATCTAGTCGTATATACCTTCTAAGCCCTCTTGAAGGCCCCAGCTCCGGAGCCTAGCCCAGCGCCGTTCCCTTTGTTCATGGCCGCCTGAGCCTGCATGTCCGCCACCTTGGGCGGCAGCACCAACGCACTTCGATCATTCCTCTTGTAGAAGTCCACCAGGATCTGCGCCGTCTTGGCCGGCTGGTCCTCCTGAATGAAATGGCCCGCTTCCGGTAGAACCTGTAATTGGTATTTGCCTAAAAATTTCATCAATTAATCAATGTTAGCTCTCTTTTCTTCTCGAGCCCCAAACCTCCTTCTGCTGGAAGTTCACATCACCGCAAAAAAGGAACGAGTTACTGTGGGAATAATTTGGGGTTGGGAGAGGCGGGGGGTTGATCGTTCGTACCTTGCATCTGCCCAATCATCAACTCCTTATCGAGCCGATCCGTCCCCGCCAGCAGGAGTAGTTTGCCGCCGCGCGCATCGAGGAACTTCCGACTCAGGCCGATGAACCAGTTCTCCCAGAAGGGTTTGGTCGCGGACAGGTTGGTGCGCCAGACCCAGGGTTTGGTGGGGTCTGTCGGGGTGGGTTGTTCGTAGAGAAGGGAGGGGACGGAAATGCGGGCGGAGGTTTTGTTGCGGATTGTGCGCGAGCGGGTGCTTTTCGGTCCCGGGCATTTGAGATTAGAAGACTACTTCGAAAGGTGTGAGGCGCTTTGGGAGGGGGTGGTGGTTGACTTACTGCCATTCTATGCCGGATGCTATGGAAGGGAAGCGGGAGGGACGAGTTAAGAGGTATGTTTCCATGCTTTGGAGGGCGTCCATCGCGGATCCTGTTTTTGGCAGTAGTCAGATTTACTGGGTTTCCTCTTAATTTCAGAGTAATAGTGGGAGACAGCGGTGGTGCAGAAGAAATTTCCGGGGGAATAGTCCGAGTAGGGGTCTGTGGTTGCGGAGGACGTACCTTCAACAACATCTAGAACGGCATAGGCCAGTACTTTGGATCCTAGGTCGCCGGTCTTTGCGACGTCGGTTATCACGGCGCCGCCTAGGCTGTGCCCGACGAGGATCAGGTCTGGAAGGCTGTCCCAGCCCATCTTGCGCTGAGTTTCGCGGACGACGAAGACGAGATCCCCGTTCAGGGTTTCCAGGCTGAGATCGAGAGCGGGTGAGCCTCCATCTTCATGAGGGGCCCTGTCGTCCCCTTCGTCGTTGGCGGTGGAGGCTGTCGTCACGACCGTGCCGCCGTGGTGACGAGCATCGAGCGATAGGATGCCTGCGTTGGGTAGGAGCTTGCGGATCTCCTCAGCGCACGCGGCGAACGAAAGGCCTGAGGAGCCGGCGCCGTGGTGCATCACGAAGAGCGGACTATCGGAGTCGGCGGGGGGCGTGAGGTATACATGGTGGGTGATGCGCGTGTTAGTGCTGGAGTCGACCTGAGTGAGATGCAGGTCTTGAGTAAAGAACTCGGTCCAGCTTAAGCTTGTTTGGGGGGATCTAAAGAGGCATTTAGATGGTTGTTAAGAAGCACTGGCTGGTAACTGGACGACATCCTTACCCGCGGCCACCATTTGGTCTGGCGAATAGATTGCGACTGGGCGAAGGAATTATCGTGCCGGTGGATGAAGCGGAGGAGTAGTCCTCATCGTGACTGGACTCTCCCTGCTCCTCGTTGAGGGGGTACATAGAAGCAGACGGAGTCGCGGACAGGTCGTGGGGGGGTAGCTGGTGCGAGAGCTTGGCCAATTTAGATTTGGCGAAGGATTTCTGCAGCTCGCTCATGAATGTGATTGGACTTCTGCTTTCTGACAGGGGGGAAATACTGCCACTGGCAGAGTTGTTGTGTGGGTGTTGTGTGGGTTCGATCAACACAAGGATTTGATGCGCAACAGCAGACAATGGGGTGGGTGGGTCATGCGGTGGTGCGGTGTAGTCTAGATTGTGGGGATTCAATTATCTCAATTGTTTGATCGACAAACAAGCAATACACTCTATCAATTAATCCCGAATCGTGGTGCATAGATTTTCCCTGTTTGTTGCATGGTCAGATAGGCCGATAGCAGTGGGATAGCAGTGGGGACACGCCGCACGCACCGGTCACTAATGCCGCTTTGGATGGTGGATCTGGTTCCAAGCTTCTACTCCGTATGAGTAGATGAGATCTCGGTAGGATTATGAGTAATACCAAGTAGATCGTGTGGCAAACAATTGATCCGATCTGATATTGTACTCAGTACTCATACTCATATGTGTAGGAATCAACAGCCCGCCTACTGAGTACTTGATTAAATGAATGCAAGATCACCTGACCCCCCACCTTCCTTTAATCTATTTTCTTTCTCTCTCTACTACTAAGGTCGGATCATTCTGTCGCTTTTCCTTTCTCTGCTCTCTCTTCTCATTTATCATCTTCTCACCTTCGACCAGGAACCAATCTATGTACTGTACCACAATTCTTATCAGATGTAGCGGTGAGAACTGGCATGAACCTTGCATGACGTCAGCGTGTGGCATTCCTTCTGGGGAAATCCCGTGATATTCCAATTCTCCCCCCCCCATTGTTTCCTGTGACGTCAAGTTATCGAAGATGCGATCTCCGTCACTGCCTGCCTTTGCTATTATGCAGCTGTATTCCCATTTTTCCCAATCGCCTTTCTATCGCTTTCCTTCCACAGTTCATCCGTGAACGTGGTTACGTGGTTTCAACCCCTGTGTCGCCTGTACAGTACATACGGCCACCGTCAAAGTCGACTTTGAGTGCTTCGCTATACTGGTATCATGCCGTCACTCAAACTTGGGCGGAATGATAACGCCGAAAGGGAGGAGCGGCCAGACAACGAGGGTGATGATACCCAACACCCAGAGCCTACAGAGCGCTCTCGACTCTTGCCGCGCGATCCCCCAGCTTACCTGAGTCCTGATGATCCTGCTGTGAGTGTCCTTCGTTGTGGAATCTTAAGCAGACAAAAATGTGCCAGGCCAGTCGGTGTTGCTCACACTTGCCACTTCCAGGTCTCTCCGTACAACCTTTGGAGCATCCGCGCTCTTCGCGGCTTATCTTCGCTCTTTCTGGCCCTGAGTTTCATCTGGTGGACCTTCCTTCTTGTCTCACTGTTTGTCAGTCCTCCCATGATGCATAGTCGGGGGTCTGGGTTCTTCAGCTTCGCCTATACAACCCTCACCACCGGATACCTCGTCATCAGCCTGCTTTTCTTTGCCGTACCGTCCAAGCCAATGACCGTATGGGGGATTATCATCGGGGTCTTTCTCTGTATCGATATGATCCTCACCCTTGCTGTACCTCGCATCCGCGTCGAAGAGGGTTGGGTAGGCGTGGCCTCGGTTGTCTGGGCCACCTTCATCGCCCTGTACAGTATCTTCCAGAATCGAGCTGTCGAATGGGGCAAGCGTGAAGAGGAAGAGCGTCTCACAGGTCGTCCGGAAAGCCGTCGCCCCCTCCGCGAATGGATTGCCGTGCTACTGCAGACCATCTTCATGGCCATTTTCGGAGCCGTCTCTATTCTCTTCACGGCTACACTGATCTTGCGGGCCCGCGACGCCTCTCTCGCTGCGCCGGGCAAGAAGTATCTCGTCAATAGCAATAACTACCAGGTCCACCTCAACTGTGTGGGCAGCCCTAACACAACGACGACTCAATATCTCGATGACGTTCCCACCGTCCTGATCGAAGGCGGCGAAGGTCCTGTTGAGCACACCCTCCAACCCTTCATTGACAACGCCTACCAAAGCGGCTTGGTCCCTCGCTACTGCTACTGGGATCGCCCAGGCTTCGGCTGGTCTGACAACGCACCGTCCCCCTTTTCAGCCGGCATGGCCGCCGACGCCCTCTCGGAGGCTCTCGCCCTGGCCGGCGAAGAGGGTCCCTGGGTCCTCGTCTCTGCGGGCGTCGGTGGCATCTACAGCCGCATCTTCGCTAGTAGGCACTTGCTTGAGGTGACTGGTATCCTGCTCATCGACAGCACGCACGAGGACTATCTCTCTCAGATTGGCTCCTCAAGCCGCGGCTTTGTCCTCTGGCTGCAAGGAGTGCTCTCGCCGCTGGGGCTGGATCGCATTGCCGGCGCCCTGTTTAAGGGCCGCACTCGCGAGAACCGGGTCTACGGCCGCAGCGCCTACCAGACAGGGAAGTTCATCAAGGCCAAGCTCCAAGAAAATCTCGTCGCCAAGTCCATGACTGCCTCGGAGGTCCAGACTGCCCGCCACGTCCAGATGTCTGACACGCCGCTGGTCGTCGTCAGCTCGGGCGTCGAGGTCCGCAAGAGCCACAAATGGGCCAAGACGCAGGAGGACCTGACGAAGATCACTCAGAACCTGAAGGACTGGGATATTGTGAGCGGGGCACCGCACGAGGTGTGGAAAACTGTCGAGGGCAGACGCCTTCTGGAGAAGAGACTGGCCGAGTTGCTCGAGAAAGAGTAAGCGGCGTCCGCGTTTGATCTCTTGAGTTTTCTCTCCTCAGTCCTCGGTTTCCTCCTACGTATTTACGATCTCGCTTCCTTTGGTTTCAAGGAGGCCTCTTTGACTTCTTATTCTTTTCTGTCGTCGTTCGTTCACAAATACGCCTTTGAGTCTCTCGATTGTCCCTTCTATCTCATGTTTCTGTAATCCTGCACCATCCGACGACAAATTGGGCCATCATGATATTACGACTTTAGCCATTCTATCCTGTATTATATTTCTTTTGAAATGCAGCGATCACTCCCCACGGGATGGAGCAATAGTGTTACACTTCCGTCATGCTGCTTTCTTTTTTTCCTTTTTCTTTCCCTTTCTATTTGACGCATTGGGCTAAAATGTGTATGGCACTCACTGGGAATATGGAATGTGAATCGTCTCTCTCTCGCTTCATCAACAAGTTCATCTCCAAAATGTTTGCATCATGATTCTGTGCAAGCTTGTTGCCACTACCGGTTGTTACGGACCTCAAATAGGCATGCTACAAACGGCCGAAAAGTAAGTACTGTGTAGCCGAGCTTGGCACCAGCACGCGAAAAGGGGGCCAGATACGTGGGTGAGTATGCCTTAACTAGAATGAGAGGCAAGCGCCTGTTGAAAGAGATATATCCTTGCTTGGGGGTGAAACTATATCCTAGATAGAGCATCATCAACGACCACTGATGCTTCTCCGGACTAGTGACTGGTCCTATTGACCCCTCAAGTAATCCCTCACATGGCCCCATTGACCCTTCAAGGCTGATCAACAAACCATATCAACCGAGATAGGGATCGAACAGCGCTTATACTAAAAGGTTGATCGCAACTCGAGCTCTCCCTATAATATGGATAGCAAAGAGCGAGGGGGTAACATCGGTGAGGGAGCAGCGGAGAGAGGCAAGCAGGTGGAGCGGGAAAAATGCTGAGACGGGTTTCCGCGGGTTGGAAGGTGTTTCTCCATTCGACGTGGAAGAACCAGAATCAATCACTCATTCTAGGCTAGCTCCCTTAAACCTCTTAGCAAGCTGTTCACTTTCTGATTTGGGGGAGGCGGATCGGGAGGAGGCAGAGGCAGAGGGAAAGGGGCGTCGACCGGCTTTTCTCATGGGGAGAGGGAGCTCAGATCCAGGTGATAGTGATGGTGATGATGAAGATGGAGGTAGTGTGGCCGTGCTCAGCCAGGGGCGCTTGGGGGGCCGCTCACCACTTTCCTGCAGAATTGTGACCAGTGTCGCCCAGCCGGGGGTGTTGATCAGCTGCATACCATCAGCGGGGTTACGGGAGGTTGCGACGCGGCAGAGGAGAGATTCTTCGTCCTGGGGAGTGGGAGGATATGTTAGCATGCGACTGATAATATTGCGATGTACTTCTAGAAGGGAGGAAAGGGGACATAGCAGCAGGCCATACTTTGCTGAAGGTGGAGAGGTTGTGCAGGAAGCACAGCAAGTGGAAATCTGACACGGCACGGATTGCCTTCTCCGGGTCACCATGCGAAACAAGCTTCTTCGCGACGTTGCGTAATTCTTGACTCTCGCCAATGACTTCGCGGTTCTCGATGGGGAAGCTGCTGTCGGTGAAGAGGGGGGAAGATTCGGTGGGGAAACCATGGGTCAATGTGACCAGGAGATATTCCACTGGAAAGCTGGGTTTGGCATTCTGTTGGGCACTGACGCCGTATTCGTTGATCTTGCGGTAGAAGACCTCAGGGATATATCGAGATTTGTTCTGCTCATCGTCATCCTCAGACTGGACCAGCATCACAGATGGTTCGGCGGACGGCTCGACGATGTCGGCTCGAACCATCTCGACTGCAGCCACAGATGCTTGGTACGCGCTGACAGTGATCGCACCTTCTTCATCTCCACTGAGGACACAGGTGACGAAGTTGGATCCAAACCGGCCCGTCCGGCTCCATTTTGTTGCCTTGGGATGTTGAGCTTGTAGGCGCGCTGCGAAAGCGATCTCGAGGGAAGAAAGATAGTATGAATCAATGTGCCGCTTGCACACTACTGATCCATCTCCGTTACCTGCATCAAGCAGGTCTGTAAATATCACTCCAATCTTCTCCATGCCACAAAGCCGCGCCACCTCATCGACCTCCTTCTCATCGGGCCACTCGTGCAGCGTGACACCGTCAACTTCATCAACTTGCGGAGGCTCATAGATTGCCTGCACCACTGCTTTGACGCCCAAGGGTACTTCCGCATATTCTTCGTAGGTTCCGTACAAGAATCCCAACCGCTGGGCTCCGGATTTCCGCCAGAAGTTGAGCAACGAGTTGACAAGCTCTGAGTGGGCGAACTCCACATGATCGACCATCCGGAACTCTTGCGGCTGTAAACTGATGGCACTGGGCTGACACTTCGTGCAAATGCCCTCCGGCCATTGAGGATGTCCGGACGGGCAGTCTCGTCTGACGCGATAGTAGGGTTCATTGAGCGGGGGCATGAAAGAGCTTTTGAGCTCCGCTTTGTTGGTGGAGGCGTTGAGTTTTTGGAGGTACGAGTGGAAGGAGAGATGTTTGATCTTCTTCTCAGCCAGGTATTTGGGGTCATATGGCTCGAGCGGCATGCAATAGTCACACATGCCCTTGGGACCATGTCGACACATCTTCATATCGCGGGGCCGATGGATCTTGCCGTCCTTCTTGTCCAGCGCATCATCGAGCGGTGATTGTTGCACCACATCCCAGGGGTTCTTGATCACAGTGGTTGGGGAGGTCGGTTGCGGGGGGCGGAAGGTGACGGTATCGTTCTGCGGAACAGGTGCTCCGTTCAAGCGGCGGGACGTTTCGATTGAGGCAGGGACCCCGTTGACAGAGCTTTTCTGTTGTCCTTGTGTCTCGTTATAGCCGAGATAGAGCTTGTCTCCGTGTCTGAGATTACCAGCAGAGCAGTTGTTAGCCGCTGTACTCAGCAATCGAGTCTAGCTGACGTGCTGTGGGGGCTCGATTGGGGACTCGATGCAAACTCACTTGAGGCCAACCCTTTCGATCACCACCCCACCAAGAGTGCTTAGAAGCCTCTCTTCACCACCAGTACCTATGGGCTTGTTGGAGAGGGCGATCGATGCGGGATCTGTGCTGGGGGGTAGATGTTCAACAATCTAAAGTGAGGTTAAGGTTAGTTCCTTCATGCTGATGCTATCTATTCGTTCTCGACATTGATTTTTCACCTTCTGCTGAAGAGTAGGAAACAAGTCCTGAGGACTGACTGTCAGCCGGAACTGGCCGTTGCGGCTTTCGAATCTCAAAATAATCGACCGGGATGCCATGATGGGCGATAGAGGCTCCAGAGGAGGATGCGGGAGGTTGAAAATGGAAGGTTTCTCGATTTCCACTAAGCTCAGGCTTCACTGCTTCATCGTAATCATAAGGTCATGTCAGGATTCAGGAGAAAGTGAGGCTGAAGATGGATCTCAGAGAACGAGGAAGATAGTCGGAGAATAGGAAGCTCTCCGGCGGGCGAAGAAGGCAGCGAAGCTCTATCGTCATCGGCCACCGTAAGCTACGCCTCACCGCCTTGGCTCTTGTCAGGAACTGCCGCTTCCCATTTTCAACAGCGTTCAGATGTGTAATCAATCATGCTTCCTTTCTACAGTACATCCTCTCTGTCAATAAACAGGCAATAACATATAGATACATATGCCGAATATATTATCATTCATTCTCTATTTAGACCGAAGTCTGGTGTATCACGTGAATTATGTACTTGAATTTCCCTCCCTTTATAACCGAACGCCATACCAACCGAAACAGAAACAAAAGCAAGCCCAGTTACAGAGCAGAGAGACGGTAGGATATTAAGCAACTCAGTTTTCTACTGAATGACACACTTCTTGGGCAGGCCACAAGGTCCCTCATTGCTCTTCTCCTCCCGGGTCGCCGCCTGGGTGCTTTGTCCGTTTTGTGCAGGTTTAGGCGCGGGCTTCTCCGTCTCGGTCTTCTGCTGCGGCTGGGCAGCGGCAGGCGACTCCGACTGGGTCTGCTCGCTACCATGTAGTCAAGCGAAGTTGTGCTTGGAGACGTGCTCGTAGAAGGCCTTGCCCTGAGCCTGGGCAACCTCGAGCTCGAGAGCGGAAGGCTGGCGGGAACCGTCGGCACCCTGATAGTGGTGTTAGTGGATGAAGCAAGACTGATTCACGCAATTGACAAGGGCATGGTGGCTTACAGCGAAAGTACCGGCACCCCAGGGGCTGCCACCGTGGACCTCGTTGAGGTTGGACAGCTGGCCGAAGACGGTCTTGTAGCCGAGAGGGACGTAGACGAAACCGTGGTGAGCGAGGGTGCTCATGGACGCAAGAGCAGTGGACTCCTGACCACCACCCTGGGTACCGGTGGAGATGAAGAGACCGGCATACTTGCCCCAGTAGCCACCGGTAGCCCAGATTCCACCGGTCTGGTCCCAGAAAGCCTTCCACTGGGCAGGGAAGTTACCGTAACGGGTGGGGATACCGAAGAGAACAGCATCATACTCGAGCAGAGTCTTGGGCTCGACGACGGGGTAGCTGGACTTGGGAGGAGCGTGCATCTTAGCCAGGACCTCCTCAGGAAGCGTCTCAGCGACCCTAGATAAGGTAAACTGCGTTAGCTATTACCAGATCACCTGGATGATGCTTCGTCCAGGTACAAACTCACTGGTAGATGTCGGCAGAGCCGCCAGCAGCCTCAATACCCTTCTTCTCAGCCTCGGCCAACTGCTGGATGTGGCCGTACATCGAGTACTGTATGATCAACCATCAGTGACGATGTTCCAGATTCCTGAGAAACGACCAGGACGAATTGATTATCTTCCCATTGTATGATGGAGGGAGTATAGCAATGGATTGGGGGAGTACATACGAAGACGATAGCAATCTTGGGAGCCATGGTGATTGTTCGTGAGGGGGTTGATTTCAGGAAGAATGACAGAAAACGGTCTTTGGGATACTAAGACTGATGAGAAGAAAGAGGGGCCGGTCAAAGAGGGGCAGAGAAGCAGCAAATATATAGTCAAAGAATTGGGACCGGCGAGACCGTGAGATAGAAAGGCCCCTCTCGCTGAGGCCCCCCTCCCCCCTCCCCAATCCAGCAAGTACGTATGTACAACAAACAGTTGCTACGCAGCCACGGGGAAAAAGAGGTTCAATTGCTTTGGCAAGCATCCGTAATCGATGACAGACCCTGGGCCCGAGAGCTGGTGATTGGTGAGGGGCAGAGGGCAGTGGGACGAGCGGGGAAGCAAAGAGAGCATCGAACCAATCAGCAATGGGAAAGCCATCTTACGGGACGGTGACAAATCGCGCTTAAATTCCGCCTGCGCATTTGGAAAATCAGAAGTTCAGAACCTCCTGGAAAGGTGGGCGCGGTGGAGTCCATTGCCCGTATTGTTAATCTGTTAATCAGCCATTAGTACAAGGTAGGGCTAGTCGACTCGGGTCTAGTCCGGTTCTCATCTTACGCTCTCAGAAGTTAGAAGTTACTGTGTAGAAACCTTAGAGAAGTCTAGTCTACCAGAGAGAGAGCCTGTAGGCTCCAGCTGTACCATATCCCCTTTCGGGATACGGCGGGGGAGGCCCGCGGCCCGAAGTGGTCGGATGTGTTACACGAGTAGCAACAGAATTCGGTCATGGATCATTGCAGTTGATGCTCCTGGATCCATTATAAACACTCTCCATTTAACTACCCATTTGTTTGCATTATGTTGATATAAACGCTTCTATCATTACTAAGTTATTAGGCAATGCATTATATACATTGAAATAAAAACAATTTTAGCCACGTAGAGAAAGACGCCATTCCGGGCGTCATGGGCTGGCATCCCTATCTGGAAACTAGAATCGCTCTAGGCCACCGCTCGTCCCAACACGCAATCAGCCCGTCAGCCCATCTTATCTGCAATCTATACGAACTGCAGACCCCGACCCTAGCAATCATTGTACATAGTTACTGATAAGTCCTTGAAATTCGAAGGTGTAAGATCTCGTATTAGGCTAAACGTTTGGCCCTCTTCTCCGACTCTTATATCTGCATAAAATACATACATCACATGCCCGCTTTGCGTCGTAAAATAAATCAAATCATCATCAAATGCCACGGAGGGGGTATCTTCACAATGCAGCAACTGGAATCTCACAGAATTTCTCCCCGAGAGAGCATCGTCTAGCCACGCCCACGCCCACGGAACCGGCCGCGCATGAAACCTCCGCCACGGCCACGTTCGCTCCGCCATTCGCGCTCCCGTTCTTTTTCCTTCTCCTGTTCCTCGCGGATCAGAGCCCGCTCCCGCTCCAGGTCCTCTTCCGTCTTCTCCACTCGCATCGTGGGCCGCGGTAGGTTCTCCGACCACCGGGGGTGCGCATCTGTGCAGTTCTTTCCTTCCGGGCAGAATCCCGCTAGGTAGAACGGGCAGAGACGGCGGCGCACATGCCGCTTGGCACACAGCGGTCCCAGCTCGCAGAAGCCCCGGTCATAGTGTTCGCACGGCGGCAACCGGGCTTCCTCCCGAACGTGTTGGTAAAGGCAATCGTCGCCATTCGGGCAGTAGCCGGATCGAGAGAAGGACTGGCACTCGGGCATGCGCCGCAGGTTGTATTCGTGGAGGTACTCGCATTTAATGCCTTTTTTGCAGAGCCCCTTGAGAAAGTGTTTGCAAACCAGTGATCCATGCGTTGTTGAGGGCGCCAGTCCCGAGGCTGTCGTCATTGACGTGGTCATGCGTGAGGGCGTAGGATGTCGGTCCGGGCAGGCCGGCCCCAGCGGACAGTGGCCCTCGTGGAAGGCCTTGCATTCGGGAACGTCGCTAGCTAGGCCGAATCCATAGCTACTGCGCAGGAAAGGAATGAAGGAAAAATCATCGAAGTTCGGGTCGCGAGGAGTATCGGGGGACAGGATGCGCGAGGCAACATGGCCGACGTCAGTCGCCATTGTGTTGAGCTTGTCAGAGGACGCGGGAAAGAGCTGTCAATTGGATAAGAAACGAAGAGATAGTGTAAATTGAACGAGGGACCAGTACTCTTGGTCAATATCAAAGCTCCGAGAAATGGGCCAGTCCCGCTGAGAAGTGCTCTCGTGTGTCAGACCGTTTTATGGGTTGTGAGCTAGGAGTAAGACAACAGGAGGAATGTGAAGTAACAAAGACAAAGACTAGAAGAGATCAGCCCGAGCGACAAAGCGGCAATATTCTTTGAGCGGTAGGCGGTGGCAACAGCTCGAGCAGATTACTCAGCTCCTGCATGATGGAACCAAGTCGAAGTCAAATCCCAAAACATTCAGATCGGACAGATCATACATTCTTAGTACGGAGTACCGTGATCAGACAGGAAAACTAGCCAGAATGCGATAGCTCGTACGCTCCAGCTGTCTGGGGAAATCTTCCCCGGAGAAGCGTCGGGCTGCCCCTGCATATGACGAGCATCAACATTGTTGGCACGGCCAGCATTACATGGTCGGCTACTTTGGGGCCTACAAGCTTCGAGACAGAATCACTGCGCTTGGAATCTGGGGTAGAATCAGGATCCGCCTGGCTGTGAGAACAACTGTTTCTCTTGTCCTTCTTCTCGTATTTCATGGGCACCTCCACCCACCCCGTGCGACCGCTGGTTGCTGACGAGCACCGGGAGATACGTCGTCTGCCACGCTAAGATAGCCCAAGTCATCCGTTGTCTCACCCTTCCAGCAGCAACTTATGCCTTGGGTATAACTCATATCTCTCTCGGATCGCGGTTCCTTCCTTCTGTGGCTGTGTCTATATCACCACTACAGTCAGCATATTCACCTTGACCAAGGATCACCCCTATAAAACCACTGCGACGGTGGTACTCGAAATGGCCAGGGTTCAAGCCCGAGTATCTCCAAGACAAAAGTAAAACCAAAAATGCATTTCCCCACTACATCGATTATCCAGTCTGGTTCGGAACGACTGATCAAGAAACCTGTGAACTACTCGTAGCAGTTAATTAGAGAGGGAGGGATGGCGGATGAGCAGCGGCCCATGTCGCCCAAGAAGCACTAATATTACTTGCACAACTGCAATGCTGATTCGGCGCCGGAGCTCAATCATCGGTCGATCCTTTTTTCATGGCTGCATGGGATCAGTCGCATTTCTTGTCTTTGATCCACCTGGAATTGAGGTGTTGGCACCAAGCCAGAGAGTGAAAGAGCCCAAATGCCATCAAAACAGGCTCTGAGCGTTGGTGCACTGAAGATACCTTACGGAGCTGTTGTGCTGAGGTCAGAATGAAGCCTCGAAGGCAGCCAATGACCCGCCCGATGGCTTAAAAAGGACGTCCGACCTGGAACTGTCATAGGCGGGGAGAGAGCCAGACGTTCGGACCGTGTCTGGGGCTGATTCTGATCCGACGAGCCAACACGAAGAGATAGAGGTGTGTGTGAGTGTGTGTGAGTGACTGAGAGAATTGTGACTGAGGCCTGAAACTCTGCCTGTTCTGCCTAGACGGGCCGTGTGATTGGCTTCACTTCTGGGCATAATCATTATCATTATTCTCATCATCATGGTGGTGGTGATGGTGGAGGTGGAGGATTTGTCCGCCGCCGCATTGACTAACTATTAGGAAGCCCTAGAAATAGCGTACCCGGGCTCCCTAAGACTATTAGTACTGTACCAGTAGTAATGGAATCGCAAAACGGGAGAAGAACTAACTTGAACGTACCTTACGGTAGGTCAAGTACTAACTTAACTGCTTCTATTTACTAGGTAACTCCTGCGGTTGCCTTCTTTGGGAGAGTCTGTACTTCTGTCACTTCGCTTCGTTCGGTCTTGCTGTTTAACTCTGACCCTTTTTCCTTCCACGTCCGTCTCTGTCTTATTCTTGCCCGGTTCGAGTGAGGGATTTCAATCTTCCAGAAAAATCGAACAGATGAGTCGATAGGTTCAGATAAAAATTCCGATAACTGACACAAAGTCGTGGGTGTAGGAGGCTCAGACATAATCAGTTTGTCCAGACGACGAGAGAACTACAAGAAGCTCAAGAAAACAATCATTTCGTCCTCTCACTGCCCATATCCCACACACGTGACGCCATTCTCAACCAGTCTATTCGTCTTCATCCTTCGCCTTCACTCTCGTCACTTTTTCGCTCTGTCTCTCTATCGGATCCAAAGAGGCTCTAGTCATCGATTGTGGGCTTGCTAAGCTCAATATCATTGTTTCCCGCATCCTCCTCGCCCTCCTAGGGCCCCCACCTCATTATGTTCTCTAATTCCGCACTATTCCCACACTGGCGTCGCAAAGCAGCCGAACGCTCCAGCAGCAGCTCTTATGAGGTGCCCTTCTATCTGAATGCGGCTTACTATCCCAACTGGCGCATTTATCAGAAACAGTCCCCTTCCTCGCTGCGATTGGGATTTGTCTCGCATATATTCTACGCATTTGCCTGGTACTAGTAGCCACTCAGCACCCATATCTGGCCCTCGGGCCCTGAACCCATACAGAGGATGTTAACCAATTTTGCTTCTCTTCTCATAGGGTTAAAGAAGATGGTACCGTCTATGTGAGTAATCTTCCGCTCTCTTTTTCTGGGTTGTAAACTGACTATATCCAGTTGAGCGACGAATGGGCCGACATACAGATGCCCGTCGACGGCACTACCGGCTGTCTCCGGGCTTTCGCCCAGCTCAAGCCAAAGTATCCTAAACTGAAACTCATTCTCTCTATCGGTGGCGCTGGCAAGGGAAGTGAAAACTTCTCGCGCGTGGCTCGCAGTCAATCCTGTATGGAGACTTTTGGGCGGACTGCCCGAGCACTGGTAGACGAGTACGGCCTAGATGGGGTAGATGGTAAGCTTATTTCTTTCTGCTCCGCGCTCTCTAATACCACTCAACCCTGTTTTCTACGCAACGTACTTGCAACTCCATGCTAACAATTGCTCAAAAAGTGAACTGGGAACACCCCTCGGACGCCCATCAAGGCGCCGACTATATCCGCCTCCTCGCCCAAATCCGCAAGTCTCTCCCGACCCCACGCTACCTTGTAACATCAGCCCTCCCCGCATCGCCCTGGTTCTTGCGACACATCGATCTCTCCAAAGCCCAATCCTATCTGGACCTCCTCAACATCATGGCCTATGACTTCACGGGACCCTGGACGCCGGAAACCGGCCACCACGCCCAACTCACGGCCCCCCCGGGTAGTTCGCATCCCAATGCGAGCAGCAATACCCTGTCCTGTCAATCCAGCATTGCCTACATTCTCAACAACCACCCCATCGATCCCAAAAAGCTTCTGCTGGGGATTCCCGTCTACGGCCGGTCATTCCTTGGTTGTTCCGGCCCAGGCCAGCGATATGCGGGCTGCGGGGGCGAGGACGGGATCTTCGATTACTGCGACCTGCCCCGACCCGGTGCGCGGGAGGTCGTGGACGAGGAGGCCGGCGCGGCATATTGTGTCGGTGGCGTGGATGGCGGGTTTGTCACGTACGACACCCCGCGGACGGTGCAGCTGAAGGCGAAGTTCGTGACGAGGATGAAACTCGGGGGACTGTTCTACTGGCATATTGGTGGGGATAAGAGTGGCGGGAAGGGAAAGAGCTTAGTAGAGGTTGGATATGAGAGTTTGCATGATATGTGATTTTGTTGTCTCCTCGGGTGAGACTGGGAAGAGAGACCTTGAAGGAGAGGAAGAAGAAACGGAGAAGAGATGTGGCTGCATTCGGCTTGTTGGTGCTTTTTTTTTCTTTCTTTCTTTCTTTCTTTCTCTCTCTCTCGCTATCTGCATTCCTTGTATGTTTATTGGTATACCCTGCGGTATAAGCGAGATGAGAAGTTGGCTGTGATGATATTGTTCCCCGTAGACTCCAACCACACAATATAGCTATCTAAGATTATTGACCTAAGTTTATTGGCCATGCCAATAAGACACACGCACTCAAGACATTTAAAGCGGGATTACACACATGCAAATACACACACACACACCACCATTAGTTCAGTTTCTACAGAAAGCATTAACCCCAACTCAACCAATAACTCCATTCCCCCTAAACCCAACAAAACATACCTAACAACGACCGAGTAATTTCTATTTCTAAGCTCATCCCATTCTAATCCATCTGATCTCTTCTCCATCAGAGTGTTGAACTTCATCTCCCCAACAAAAAGCCCCCACATAACAACAGACAATATTACAAGGAATCGATGCATTAACGCATCAATGTACTGTACTAACTTTCCGCCCATCCCCGCCCCTCCCCCAAAAAAAGAGTAAAATACCCATTCGCGAACTCACCGGATCGGGTACCAACCCCACACAATGGCAGATATGGTATGATGCTGATGATGATAGATGCACTGGGCAAATCAAGTAGCGTGTCATGTTACGAGTAGGTAAGGTAGTCTGAAAACCTAATTCCCGGCCCCATGGTACGGTATCCACTACAATGAATGGTCACTGTCGACCCAATAAGTATGGGCTTTGCCTAGTGGATAGCGTTGGACCCCGGATATCGTACCTAGGTGTGTGGGGGGGAGGGGGCGGGGGGAGCTACAGTGACAGGGAAGAGCGGAGGCGGGGGAGGAGAAGGGGGGAGGAGAAAGATTGTTCTAGGCGTGGATCTCCACATCATTAATCATAGACTACTAGCTGACAGCAGGCTACGGGGAAGGCAAAGGCGAAGGCGGACACACCAGAGAGTTGAGTTCACCAGAGATCCGGGTCGATGATGGTCGAGGAGATCCACAGGGACAGGATTAAGGTTTGCAGTTGCTTTTTCACCGTTGTCGAAGCTGTGCCCCGGTGGAGGTGGTCATGGGTAAGCCGGTTAAAGTAGCAAGACATGCACGCGGTCATCTGGCGCGCAAGCAACGGGGACCACATCTCGAAGCATGATGTTTTTTTTAGGTGTTCAGATGACAGATGACAGATGACAGGTCTTTCAATTCATCCTCATAGCAGTAAACCTTATTATATAGCCATTTAGCATAGATACCATTTCACTCATCAATCCTCGTCATGACACAACATATCACAAAAGAAAAGTATTAATGTAACATATACAGGATAACCATTTTCGAGCAAGATAGACGGCCCCCATCTCAACTTTTCATCTCCTATCCTAGACTTTCCCAAGAAAGCGATGACCCCAAGCTAAAGAATACCTCCCAATGCCTTCGTCACGTTCAGCTCTACGCTGAGTGTGTTAGCAGCTAGAGCGTCGGCGAAATACGTTAGTTCCTCGCCGTTGTAGACGCTCGAATTGCCGATGATGTCAACGGGAAGCATCAAAGTGGGATAACTACCAAGCATGCCTGCCACGGTGAGGGTGCTAACGTTGGCAGTCATGGGAAGGGTATTGTTGCCGGGGCGGATGGTGAGGTCGGTCAGGTAGGATTGGCCAATAGCAGTGCCATTGACGGATAGGTCAAGTGTGACATTGCCCTAGCGAAAGCATTAGCTACTATAGACAGCGCGAACTAAATGATAAACTGAGACAGGGTTCTAACCAAAGTGAGTGTGAAGGGCGAAGGGTTGGGGATGTAGACGGTCCCCTTGCCATTATTTCCACTCTTCGTAGAAGTCGAGATGGTAAGATCGACTAGCTCGAACCCCTTGAGCTTGTTGAGACCTGCTGACTGTGAGCCAATGCGTTAAGTTTGATGGGTGGATGCCGTACCCTTGATGGTTGTTGTCTTATTGTATGTGATCTTCGTCTTGGGCAGGCTACCCTCTTTCAGATCAGCCTTGCCGTACACATTCATCTGGATCTCCTCATTTAACATGACCGCCTTGCTGAACTCGGTGAATGCCGCCACGTCGGTGATGTTAACGTCTTGGTCGACATCGACCTCGACGCCATCATGTGCTTTGAATTTGGGAATCTGAACTGTGATGAAGGGAGCTCCGCCCAGAAGACTGATGGCGGCACCGAAGGAGTAGATGTTGGGCTTGAAGGCGCTGCTAGACCCGATAACCTGTGTCTCTTGCAAATGGAAGGAATTGGGCGTCGGATCACTGATTGCCATGCTAGTGATATTCAAGGTTGACTTGTTGATATCATGCTGGGCGATATTGGGGTAACCAACGTAAACTCTGGTTCGATCATGTCAGGCTTGAACGCAATATTCGTCAGTGAAGAAAGGATAGCAACATACACCGGCAGCACCACCACCAGCACCACCACAATCAAGATGATGAGGTGCACCCACCACCACCGCTTGAAATGAGCCGCAACGCGGCTCCCGAAACTGGGCTTTGAGGCAGCAGCGGCCGGCACAGTGCCGGTCTCAACGACATGGGGCTTGCTGTCACTTGCCATGCTGAGATGGGGTTGTCTGTGTCTTGCTGGTTCGCTGGGGATGGATGATGTCTGTGTGACATATGCGGGGTCTTTCACCTCCCAAGCAGAAAGAAGAGCCCGACCCGAGAGAAGTGAGCTGGGACAGAAAATGTTCCTTTCAGAAGTTGCACAGCGCCAGTGTCGAGCAGTCTTAAGCAAGGGTCAATACGACTGCAACGAGATCAGTCTTAGCCGCGATGGCACAAGAGCAACTTTTAATCGGGGATGGATCTGGAATGATGCGGTACATACATAGCCTCAACTTTCAGTCAAGTGACACGCAGGGGCAGCAGGAGATTAAAGTTGACCGAGAAACCACGGTACCCACGAGGGTAATTCGAAAAGTCTCTGGCAAGGGATGACAATGACCAGAAACGGATTTGAGACCGACTAAAACAAACAGCGGTTCTCCCCCCTAAGTACCCCCGACGATAGATCTGGGTCTCGGAGGAAGCAGTGCGATCTTCACATGTTATAGACAACAGCAATATGTCCGACAAGAATGGAACGCCGCGGACCCTCTTCAAGCGGAGCGATGCTTAGGCAGACTATGCAGCTGGCGGCGCCGCTACCAATTAGCTGGATGTAACAGTGCAAGAAGCGAGCCAGCAGAGACTATCCCTGCTCCGAACTTAGCATCCCGCGGGTCGATCGAGGTAGGTTCAGATGGAGGGTCGTTCGCCACGCGCTCCCAGCAAAACAGCTCATGATGAACTGATGAACATCCATGATATCTGCAGTGTGCCTCTTGACCTGCAGCTTCCGGCTGTAGGTAGACACTGAACCGAGGCTGAGATATAATTTTTAAACTTCAATCCAGTCGGAGGAAGGAAGCGATTGGGAAGGAGGAGAAGGAAGAGGGGAAAGACGACAAACAAGCTAAATGACTAGTCGGGGTAAGGCTAAAAAGTGAGCCAAGGTTTGTGAGCACGGGGACTGGATATCTGGAAGACCCAATTTCCCCCGGACGATCAGGGCTTACTGGGGGTGGTGGGGGGGAGGGCCTTCTGGGGGGCCAGCTGTTGTGGGACAGAACCGCCGGAGCGATGCAACTAAACTGCTAGAGGAATTTCCAATGAATCCCATTTAATCAATAAAAGCGACAATCCCTGGACAATCCCTTAAGTAGTGTGGCTGCTGTGACTGCTTTCGGCCACTGCTCCGATGGCTCTGACGATCTGCAACCAATAATGGGCAGGAGTTGGAAGTCCAGGGATGTTCGTAGACATGTCTTGGAAACCCCGGAAAGTCACGGAGATTGCCAATCAGACAAGCGAGCGACAGATTGATGAGGGTGGAGAAGTGAAGGATGGTAATTGATGATTGATGATGGTAAGGGAGGGAACGGAGGGAAGAGGAAGAGGAGGAGGGAAGAAAGGAATGTAAGCGGGCACGCGGACACCCCCGCCCGAGTAAGTTCCCGCCTTCCATATAGAGTCTCTTTTAGAACTGTCTGTTAGTTACTAGTTAGTTTGTTAGTTAGTTTATTAGTTGTAGTCACGGTCCAGTCCAGCCCTTCCCATTTCCACTCTTTTTCCCTTTTCCGAATCTCCCCTCCTCCCCTCCCGATTTGCTTCTCTCCCATGACTGAAAGTAAAAGTGACAATAAAAAGTTAATCTTCTCAATCCTGAAACTCTCAAACCAATTTCCTTTTAAGTTGTGTGACATACTTAAATCCAAAACTGCTTTTCTCGCCGTAGCATCGCATTCTACATCACTTCGATTCTCAGTCAAAGTCCCAAACTGAAGCCTCGACGGTGGTTTCATATTCCCTGCAGTCCCAAATTAACCATGGCTGCAATCATACCCAGCCAAGCCCAGGCACTAGACAATGGAACCTTGAAGATTTAAATTAAATACGCGGCCAAGCAGGGACCATGCGCACCCATGGCAGAGGAACTGCTGCTGCTGTCCAATTGCAATAAATAAGATAAATCGTTTCACCAGCTTGGACGTTGCCGATAACACTCACTCGGCTACTTAGAGGATAAGATATATTCTGGGTAAAAAAAAAAGGTACTTGAGAAGATAGACAGGATGGAACGAAAGTGTGGGACCCAGAGGGTTGCAAGGTCGGAGTCAGTTAAACAAAGGAGAGTCACGAATCGAAATATCACACAGTGATTAAGGGCTAATGATGGGTATCCAAGAAACGAATATCGATGCCCGCAAATTGGTTCCCAGAGAACTGATGCATGATCGTTCTCCGGGCCAGCATTCGGAGCAGTTGGCAAGGCCTGCTCAAAGATAGGGATGAAATGGTGAGACGAAGAGAAACACTGACCCACAGCAAAGGCCTGGGAGACGCAGAAGACCAAGTCGAAATTTTCGATTTGCCAAGCAAGTTGCAAGTGAAAATCGACGGGGGAAGCATGATTGAGCCACAAGGGAGCATAAAATGAGAAAAAATGAATGGGAACAGTAGGAATGGGTGAAATGTACCTCACGGGGTCGATGTCGCAACAAGGCAAGTAGATACTTGAAAATAAAAAGGGGGGGGGGGGGGGGGGGGGATAGAATATGTAACGAAGAAGATAAGGTGACAAACGTGAATGTCACAAACCAAACATGTGCAATGATACTACCGACACCTTGAGGAGGTAGGACACGGCTTTTTTTCAGTTGCTAGTGAACGCTTTGATCTCGAAAGAAGGCAGCACAGATTTCAGGCCTCAGTAGCAACTGATTTCTTCCGGTGGAAGAGACTGCGAGTGCGGGACTTGCTGCGATTTTTCTTGTCGGGTGTTGTACCAGATCGTTGACTGCGGCCACGACCGCGCGAATTGATGCTCGGGTTGTCGTCCGACATATACTTGTCCTTGTAAATCCTGGAAACACGAATAGTCAGCCAAAAACGTCCATTTCTCACAATGCATTTTAATGACGTACCAGCTATTCCCAACCATGTTGATTCCCTTTGCCTCCGCTTGGCGATAGAATTTCGCAGCCCTCTTCAGGTCCTTCTTACAGCCAATGCCTTCTGCGTAACAGAACCCGGCCTCCGCGAGCGCATCACCGTCGCCCCATTGACCCGCAATCTCGAAACAGCGTAAGGCCAAAGACTTGTCCTGTTCGATACCCCACCCGTTCAGATGACTCACGCCAAGTTCGTAGATACTGAGGGCGAATTGGGCTCGGTAAGCCTTCTGAAGTTCTCTCATGCGGACAGGTATCGACGGATTGGAGTCATCCATAAGCTCTAATCCGACGGAGTCGACAGCCTTGCGCAACCACCGTACACCTTCTTGCTGATTCGGCCGCATTCCCCAGCCATGGCGGCAGGCTAACGCATAGAGCAACATCCCCGTAGGATGATTCTGCTTGGCCGCTATGCGAAGGTGGTACGTAGATTCATTGAGGGATCCTTTCTCGTGGCATTCGATACCCTTGGTTACGTGCTCATCCGCTGTGATGGGCGCTGATGTAGTCTGCGTCCTGGCTGTCTGCGGGCGAATAGTGGACTCAGAGCCAGCAGAAGAAGTAGTATCGTTGGCATTGTCATTCCTGGCTGTTTCGGATTCCAACTGCGCGGGTGGTGCAGGTTCGCTCACTGGTGGCTCAGATGGTATGATTTCTGCCGTAGCAGACTCGGTGGATGTCCGCCTTGGAGGTGTTGTACGATCGCTGGGCGCAAGAGAAGTTGCCTGCGGTAGCGGCGGCTCAGGGGTCAAAAGCCTCCGAGACGAGCTGGGTGATTCCTGCATAGAGCGCGACTTGGAAACCACTGAATCTTTGCCTGATGGTGATGGGGACGGAGTACGACGAGATCGAGAGGACTCCGCAGGGGCCTGGCGATCGGGACTCTCAAACAGCGGTTCTTGCCATTCAAAGTGCGGAGTCTGCAGGCCTGAGAAGACAACCGAATCACGGCAGACGGCGCGTCCTCGAGGTAAAGCATACTTTGTATGAATGTAAGACGACACAGCTGATGAGGGATCCTCATGCGGATGTAACGCCAAATCGGATGGAGACGGCACCCTGATGGGGCTGGGCTTGTGTCCGCGGTTAATGGTGCTCTGTATGCCATCCGATGAGCACACCGGTCCGGGAGCCGAAAGACTCGTGCCAGACCGACTCAGTGGCCGAGAGAAATTATACGACGGGCGAGACAGACCCCCGTAGTTTGAGGTTTCCGAGCTTATGGATGGAGATCGAGGATGAGACCGAATTTGAACATTGGACATGGGCGAGTAAGGCATAGACATCGCACTGCTGGAGGACATTTTTCGTGGCTTCGAGAACGTCGAGCCGGCAGTCGAGCTGCTATAATCATCATCCGAGCTCTCAAATTGACCACCTCGGGAACCACTCGATGGCCGCGAGAGAGGAGAGGCTGACGGGGTCAATCCACGCGACGGAATGTTTAAATGAGAAGCTGAGTCGGTAGACGAGGTTCGAGATGGGGGCATCACAACCACCCCTGCCGGAGGCGTGCGGCTCTCCGAAGGAGCACAGGAGGGGGCAACGGAATAGAAGCGACGGGGTCCTTCGGGGGCACTGTATGCACTGATATTGTCCGGAGAATTGGAGCGGGGCAAGTCAAACACATCAGCAGTCGATTCCTTCCTCGGGGTGGCATCGTCATCTTCTGTTTCCTCCGGCATCTCGTGTTGTTCTTCCTGCGCCTCCGTTTCATCTGGTACTTCACTTGACAGGTGTGAGATGGCGCTGAGCCGCGGATGTTCGGACTGTGGGCGAAACTTAGGCTCCTCCACCTCGGGGTTCATCTTCTGCGTTGGCTGTCTCGACAATTCATTGCGCCTTCCCCCGCGAGCATCGCTAGTAGAAGCCGAGCGAAAATAGCCCGGTCGTGGCTGCGAAAGGGAGCGTGCCACGCTGGAGGGAGGTAATCGGCTCATGCGACGGTTCCTCCGAGCGGATTCCTCCAACTGGCGGGCTAGAAGGCGGCCTTGGGCGGCAAAGGCATCGAGCGGGGAGAGCGCGGGAGGAATTTCACCATCGTAATGCTCAATGCGCGGGGAGGGCGCCCCGCTGCGGAGGGTATCATGGGAGGGGGAGCGAATTTCACCAAATCTGGGCCGGGCGGCCATGGTCGTAGCCGATGTCCGTCCAGTTGCTGCGATCACAGAACCCAATTCATCCAAATGTCACCACAAGAGCTCGATTTCCAACTCGTGAGGCAATCAGGTCCATTAATTGAGGATCAATGGTTTGGGTATTTGGCAAACAATCGACCGACTCGCACAAGCGAAGTGAGAGCACAATCAAGCGTTAACTTCAGGGCGTGCGACAGGCGATCTTGGAATACGGTCGGTGTAGATGCGAGTTGGAAGTGCGCCGAGCGAAATTGCAGAGGACAACGGTGGACGGACGACAAAAGGAATGACAGCCCCGTGGGGTGGAACGAGGATTGCGGCAAGTGAGGGGAACTGGGCGCAAGTAGGCAATTTGAAGCGAATGAGCCTGGATTCAGGAGCCGAAGAACAGGACGAAGAACAGGAGACGGAGTAGACGAGGGGCGCGGTTGATTATCTGGCGGCGACGGCGATGGCGGCGACTGTGGTGAGAAACAACTGTTGGGTGTTGGAGACCTGTACCGTACTGGGCGAGAGAAGTGGGTGAGTAGTAACAAGGCCGTGATATGTACAGTACTGACAAGACGAAGCGATGCTAATGAAGCATCATGGGTGAGGGGAGGGGAGGGGAGGGGAATTAGATCGAGGAACAAACACAACACAGGATGTAAGTATGCAGAAAGAAGAAAAATAGAAAGATTGAGGAGAAAATAAGACAAAGAGAGAGAGGAAGAGAGAAAGAGACCAAGAAACTAACGACTGGGGGGAGAGCCGGTTACTTGTTACGCCCTGACGATCGCCAAACCAGAACCGGTGTTCTGGGCAGTCTCCACGCTTTTCTGCTGCTAACTGCGCTGCTGCTGCTGCTGCTGCTGCCGCCCGTAACGTCATTACAGCCTGCAGTGCTGCAGTTCTGCAGTCTGCAGGGGCCGGCCCCGTTTCAGGGGGAAATCAATTACTGTACAGACACTCATTCGCTGTAAAGTATTGCATGCTGAGCACTAAAGAAAAAGATGATGATGACAGCTTCTCCTCCTCCACCCCCCCTTCTCCTTCTCCTCCTCAGTTCTCACCCTTACGTTATGGGCTGGGCTGCTCACTGCTTGGCATTTGCATGGATCCAGCCAGCCAAAGAGGATTTTCCCAGATAGGCGATATTTGTGGGTTTTCTGATACTTATGTGACTTATAAACCAGCTGTCTTTCTACCCTGGAGGGGCACACGGCAGACAAACTTACAACTATTCAAATCAATCAAGAGATCGCATTGTCTCTATATCTCCTGGTGTATCCACGTCTCAATGCGACTGTCGCCATTCAGACGTATTGATTGATGTGCCGCTTTCTTCCAGGTTCCCCTCTAGCTCTTCATATCCTCCACCCGAATCAGTCAGGGGCCGCATCGATGGCTGTGGCATTATTGTTCGGTTTATTGAGGGCGCTCGGGGAAATCCCCAGCTTCTAGAAGCAATGGGTCGAACTTTCGCCCATCACGATTCACGAAACATCGGCCAGTGTCGCGCGGTCTTGTCACTACCTAGTCACTACGCACCGCTACTGGGTGATAGTCGGGTTCACCCTTGGGGAGGCGACTGCTCAGTGGAGTCCGAACCAGACTTTGAGTTACTCCATTGTACTATTTATAAGTCGATGTCCTCTCAATTCTATTTCCCCCCCCTCTCCTCCTGCCGTTTCTTCGTATTCCCCCGGTCGCAATGGCAGCTCGAGTTTATTTGACTTTAGATAGATGCGAGATGCGGAGAAGAGCTGCCATGGAGTGGCTGTTGGCGGTGCTTCATGTTTCTCTAGGACTGCGTTTCTGCTGCATGGTTCCCTGGACTAAATCACCACCACCACTACTCCGTACTCACTATTGACTTACTGAGCACCACTAATCGCTGGGCGCTGCAGGTCGGATGCCCAGTAAGGGACGCGCAGTGGGATTTCTATCCGACCAGTTAGGCACCCTCGTTGAATAATTTACAACTAAACTCTTCGCAGTGGCCCCTTTCAAGCAATAGATTCATAAAGTCAGCCATTGCTGGCAGGTGCACTGTCTAGTGTATGTATCTTTAGAATCTTTAGACTTAAATACTGGACGGGCAGCCTGAAGTTTGTTCTTCTCTTCTTTCTCCCCCTCCCCCTTTGTTTCAGAAGTTCACCCAACCGGACTTACAACTCTCACAACTCGGACTGTCAAGCATAAAAATTTTCCTTATGGAGATCATGGTTCGCTGTGCGGGATGAGTCAATAAAGCCTTCCAAGTGGCTCCAAGGCTTCAAGATCTCATTGCCTGATTAATCTATCGATACTGCAGTGTCTCCGGTCTAGATTGCTTTTTTCTGGTTTGGGGGGGGTTCGAAACCAGGCACAGTTGAACCGTGATTGGTTGTCCTTCGGCCGGAATTCAAGACGCCGGGGGAAAATCCAGATTGAGACAGCCCAGCATCCGCCAGTCACGGGTTCCATGAGTCCCGTCACATATGATGATGGGATGGATGAGAGTTGGAATTTCGCAGTGCTCACTATGACATTGCTTCTCTTGTTGCCATCAAGACCAACATCGATCGATTAACTTACAAGGTAGCTAATTCCTATGCATTATGCACTATGCACCAACAGGAGAATCCAACAGGGGAAAGGAGGTCACGGTAAGAGCTGCAGACATGAGACACAACAAGACCCCCTCAAACCCCGTTGTTCGTCTGTCCGTCTGAACGACAGCCGTTGGAATGCTGGAGGGCCGCCCGCCCGGAGGCACCATCAAGCAAATTCAATTGTCTGTCTCTGAGTCTCTGCCCTAAGCACCCACCATTGGAAAGTCTGCGCTAGGGTACTGTCTAGTTCCTAAGTACCAGTCCGCACCCGGTCAGTCACCGGAGTACCGTGATGAGTCGGGGCAGAAAGAGAAAATATATGAAGAGAGAGCGAGAGGAGGAAAAAAAAAAAAAAAAAAAAAAAGGAACGAAAAGGTAGCAGAGACCACGATAAGTAATAAGGTATGTAACACCGATCAGCTGGCCTTAGTTTAGTGGGAGGAGCAAACGCGGTTCTTCATCTCCAGCGGAGACAAAGACTCTCTCTCCCGTCCAATCAGCGCCGAACTCGGCCGTACTCCGCAGAAGCTTAGGCTTTAGCAGCACGAGGTTAATAAAGACATTCGAACAACTAAACTAAGGAAAGGAAAGGAAAGGAAAGGACTCCGACTCTCCACGCAATGGGAGCTCCTAATAAAATCTCTGCTATTTGGGCTATAGGCAGATAGTCAGTCGAGTCTTGCTGAAGTATCGTTCTTTTCCTGGCGCAAACACCTAACCTCAGGGTTCCCTACCTGCCTACCTACCTATACGTTTCTTTTCTTCACGACGCACTGTGGGGGAGAAAGAGGATCTACCGATCAGCTTCAATAAAGCCCTAATCCCAACAGACAGGCCAGCTGTACGCACGATCAGGAGAGTCATCATGTCCATCATGAACCGACTCCGGAACCCGTCGATCTACGACCTCCTGGGCGTCGACCCCGCGCTCGACCACAAGCACGTCTACGAGACATCGTGGCTGCTTCCCCCGCTGGCGCTGGCCTGCCTGCGCGGCCTGATCGCCCTCTACATCTTCACCACTATCTTCACCATCTGGGGCTGGTACGGCACGCACGGCGAGCGCTACGCGATCGGCGAGAGCTTCAGCTACTTCACCTGGCTGACCTACTGGGGCATCGGCTTCTACATGCTCACCGCCGCCATCCACACCACCTGCTACGCCTTGACGGGTCGCTCGGTGCTCTTCAACCGCGGGCCGCGCGCCCTGCGCGCCCTCCACGGGCTCTTCTACACCACCGTCACCACCTACCCTTTCCTCGTCACCGTCGTCTTCTGGGGGATCCTCTACTCCCCGCCGTGGTATACCACCGTCGAGCCTGCTTGGCAGAACGTAAGTTGATCCCCAAGACCTTGTGTAACAGAGTTTCGTTCTTCTTTGTTCCCAACCTGAACCCGAGAAAACGAACACGAGTGCATTGTTCTCGTCAGAAACTGATCCAATGATGTCGTAAAGATCTCCCAACACGGCCTCAACTCCCTCTATGCCCTGCTGGAGATTATCCTCGCCACCACTAACCCCCACCCCTTCCTCAGCTTGGCCGTCCTCATCTTCATCCTCCTGCTCTACGTCTCGTTGGCCTACCTCACCTATCATACCGAGGGCTTCTACACCTACAGTTTCCTCGACCCCGGCGCCCATGGCCAGCACAGCGGCAAGGTCACCGGCTACTGCTTTGCCATTCTCGCGGCAATCCTGGTGTTCTTTTTCCTGTCGTGGGGCGCCATCTGGTTGCGGCGCCGGTTGACGCATGGGAAGGTGAAGCGGTCGGTGCGCGATTCGGGGAAGGTGGTGGTAGAGGATGAGCAGCCGGAGGTGGTCGAGGTTTCTACTTTGCAGGTTTGAAACAGATCACAGCTGGGGTGGGATAGCTATGGGCAGGGGGCAAATGTAGGGGGAATCATATTGTAATGTTTAAAAGAAAGGGGAGCGATTGGTTTTCTATGACCAGAGAACTATGGTTTCTGTGGTTTCGGGTAACATTCATAGCTTCATTATAATGCATACTTGCGGGATATGATCTGATATGATGAGATGAGATGAGAATGGTATTAGATCCAAGAAAAAGCTCACAGCGATAGCCAAGGTGAGGATGGGTATTGGGGGAAAAGGTATCCCCCAATTTATAAATTTAGCGAGATTCACGGGATGTCGGCAGTTTATCAAAGCCGCTCCCAGCTGCTCGTCTCACTGCTACTCCCCGCGCTGGTCGAACTTTCCCGTGGCGACGATGAGGAAGTCGTCTGCTGCGGTTGAAAGTGGTGATGGAGCTGCTGCTGTTGCTGCTGCTGCGACGACGACCGCAATCCCAACATCCAACCCACCAATCCTGCGGGTATCCAGTCCCCGATTATGCTGTACGTCCTTGCGCCCCGACCGACATACATGACGGCCTTCTTGCTGCCGCGCCGGCCGAACACATTCTTGGCCGGCGCCTCCAACGCATCCTGCACAGCGTAATGCAGGGTGCGTGCAGAAGATCCTCGGATGAGACTCGGGCCTGCCGACGCGGCGGGCCGCGCCTCAATGCTATCCAAGTACTGCGATGCATACAGCGAGCGCTGCTGGACGCTCCAGCCCAGCACCTCCGTGCCGGCGATGTGGCCCTGCGGGGTCCGGTATGATGGTCCGAGGTCGATGTTGCCGAGCTTCAGCTCGACAACGTGGAGGTTCGAATTGGATGTCAACTCGCGGCGGAGGGAGGTGGCGAACCCGGACAGCGCGCGGATGGTCGCGACTTCCGGCCCGCTGAAGGGCGCGGAGAGAGACGAGGAGATTGTGGGGTAGGCGACAATGATGGTGCTGTGATTGTTGCGGACATGGAGGAGGGGGAGGAATAGTTGTGTGGTGAGGATAGGGGAGAGAAGGCGCGTGTTAATTGTGTCGATCCAGGTTGACGGCGGGATTGTCGCGACGGGGCCGCTGGTGTAGTTGGGCGAGGGGACTAGGATGAGCCCGCTCAGCTGGCAGGTGTGAGGCTGGAGGCCGGCGATGGGAGATTGTGGTTGGGTGATGAGAGTGTGGATTTCGCTGAGGGAGGGGTGGATTCCAGACGGGTTGGGGGATGTCTGTGGCCGTGATGGTTGCGTTAGTCAAGGGTGTTTGGAGACGGAATTGGAAGTAGTGTTTCGCTCTTACGGTGGAGAGGTCAAGCCAGAGGGACCGGATGTCTTCGCGACTTTCGCTTCGGATGATCTGTTCTTCGTCGCTGGACGAGACTGTAACATAGACGATGTATCCCCGACGCTCAAGATCAGATGCGATCGCTCGAGTCATCGGTTCGTGCGCCGATCCCGCGATAACTATTGCGACAAGTTAGATGTTTGCGCAGCTTTTCATTCAGGTTCTGGTCCCATGCATACCCACGATCTCCTTGCGGGCGCCATTCCCGGCCCTCCTTGCTCGCCGCCGTTTCCCATTAAACTTTTTGTTGCCATAATATAGGACGCAGGTGGTTCCAACGAAGGCGAGGATCGCCGCGCTCCATGCTCGGTTATGCAAAACCCAACCATGCACGCGATCAACCAAAGACTGTGATATGACCGGGTTTGGTCGGTACTTGGGTGAAGGGCGGACCGTAGGAGGCAGCCATGTCTGATTGGAGAGGGTATCACGAATTGCGTTTGCGGCGTGGTCGACTTGACGATCGATAGAATCGGCGACCTGATGAGAATATCGCCTTACGTCATGCGGTATCGATGCCAGCTGCGACAAGCAAGAAGAAAATCGTGTCAGTGCGCGGTAAATGTGCAGGCTAGAAGAGTAGAGCTCACATAGTCGAAAAAGAACTGGTCGTCACTGGTCATGGTGATGATGGTTTGCTGCACTCAAACGGGGCAGCCGTTGGATGGAGATGGGGGTGGGTGGTGGATAAAAAGATCGAGGAATAAACTGGATCCTCCAACTTATCGGCGGGCCGGTCACATGAGCGTCTTCGCCCTATGGATGGACCATCCCCGATCATTCCTGTATATGTATTCATCAAATATTGGCGTGTTGATGTGTCACTACCTTCGATACTTTGATTTCATCTTGAACTAATCACGTTCAGTCTGGATGACACACTCATGCTGCAAGTATAGCCTTATCGAAAGCCAGAAGTATATGTGTATATTTGGTACTATGTTCCAACCACAAACATGACGATTGTGCACGCCACTTCAGACGGAACTCAACGTACACAATTCTGCTGTGTTTCCTAATGTCAAAAGATACAAACTAGCCGTGGACCTATGGAGCATAGCTACCCCAGCAAGCGCTTCGGCGCCTTCTCGAACAACCGAATGGTATCCTCCAGCCGCTTCTCATACTCCGCCATCTCCTGGCTGTCCTGATCGTCGCCCGAGTCATTCTCCTGCTCATCTCCATCATCTTCTTCATCTTCTTGACCCAGGAGTTGCAACTCAACTCCATCTCTTCCTCCACCACGAACTGTGTTCACCGACATGATGTCTCGATATAGCCCCATCGACATTGGCAGCGTAACCCCGTCCACACCATTGCTACCCAATTTGATAAACTTGGCATCCAGCAACCGGAACTGAGCTGCCCAGACGTGCTCATCTTCAACCTCCATGGCAACCTCCCAAGATGTACCCTGGCCCAGCTTCACCGAGCCGCCCACAGGCACACTCGACAGTGCCCCAATGACCGCAGATGAGATGCCTACCGAGACTTGATTTGACTGGCTCCGTGACACAATCGTGCGGGTACTTTCCAGAAGATATAGACCGGTAAGAAACCAGATCTTCGGGCGGCGCGCGAATTTGAAGTTGAGAAGATAGGAACTGCGGGCTGCGGAGAGCCAAAGTTTGAGTTTCTGCTGTGCTTGTGGAGTATTGAGAACCGAAGTCATAAGGAAGGATTCCGGACTATGACCCATATGTGAGTCTGAGCAATTCATGAATCATCTGTATGGGCAGCAGATTGACATACTCTTTCAGAATAATCCGCCTCCCCTTCCTTGCGGTGACTATACGCTCGAGCTCCTTGTTATATGCTAGACGGAGATCAATTATATCGCCACCGCTGAGACCAAAACCAGGAGAAGTGCGAGAGGAACCACGAAAGACCACATTGGCGAAGTCACTTGCATAAGTATGTTCTTGCAAAGCCTCCTCACTGCGCAAATAGTTAGCTAACACTGTAAGGTGCTTAGGTTGACGTTGACTGCCTTACCTGAGCAGATCATGAGTATAGTGACGCGCTGCCAGTGGCTGCCAATACTTTTCCAGCACCAAGGAACCAAGGGTCAAAGCCTCTGGTTTCTCGCCCACTCCATAGAGATAGAAGGAAGAGTCGTCACTCGCTGCCATGATTTGTAAAATGGAGAAGCTTGACTCTGGAGGATAATGTCCAGTGCAGTACGGAGTGGCGTAAGATTTTCACAATTAGAGTTAATTGATAACAAGGTGTTTATGGGTCCAGTGGATATCTTAACATCTTCCTGACATGTCTTGACATGTCTTGACATGGCGGCCCGCGCGGGGCTCGATCAGTGCGGCTGAAATCCATCCCCATTCCTGCCAGATCGAGTAATTCCTGGCGAAGGCAGCCTAAGCAAACAATCTTAGCGAGTTCATCATCATTTTCAGACTCCCTCATCCCAGAGGGTTTCTGACTTCTCTTCTTGACATGCTTGACTGCTGAAAGCCTGCACGAAAACCACACTAGCAAACGCAACGGTCATGGACTTTGAACTCTTTCTCGACCTTTGCGGTCGATCACTTTTCGCCGAGGAATATCGCGGGGATTTGGATGCTGCTTGGGAGGCATTGCAGCAAGCCAAGCCAAGTGACCCCACTCCTGAGCCAGAGCCTTACGCAGAATACCTGCGATGCTTGTCCATTTACTCCATTCTGACAGGCAGGTTACGAGACGCCCAGGAAAGCTTGAACATTCTGTACAATCTTCTCGGCCAGCTACCTCCAGAATGGGGTCTGCGCTATACCAACTACACTCTACTATGCGATCACTATCGGCGCTATCCACCCTCGCTTCGCTTCTTCCACGAGAGAGGAAGACCTATCAATCTCAACACCCTCTGCGACATTATTGGACCAAATGCTATGATGGCCAAGTTTACAGAGAATTTCCAGCGACACTTCCCTTCGGGCAGTCCTCGTGATCAATTTCTCTGTCAAATACTAGGCGCGGTGCAATGGTTGCCGATGCAAACAAGGAACTTGGTGTCTACATATCATCCATTATTCCCAGGTCTTCCGTCGAAGCGCTCTGATACTTTGGACTGGCAAACAGTCATTCCGGAGAGCGCCAAGTTCTTGATCAACTACCGGGACCTGGCAGAATCTGGGGGTGCAACTACCATCGCCGAATATTTGTCGCGGGCAATAGTCGATTTACACATAGCCTGTCAACATCCAAACCAGGCAGCTGCTTTGATGGACCTATTTCGAGTGTACGAAGGCCGAGGAGACCAGGTGGGAATGGCCAACTGCAAGCTTATGGAAGGCGATGCTTTTTTGAGCCCTTCATTTGCAAGCCCAATCTCTCTCAATATGGTACTCGTAGAATCTTCATCAGCAGTCGGGGGGGATACCCTATGGGATCCCATTGATTTCGATCTCAAATTCGACTACACATCACAGGCGAGGGATTGCTACGCATCGGCGCTGAGTCTCTTTCAGAAGGGGAAGTGCAAGAGAGGTCAGGCCGCAACATTGCTTCGGCAGGCCTGCTGCTTACACAACGAACAACGTCATCTCCGCGGCGCGAATAAACAGAGCGTTGGCTTACTTGATGAGGCCGAGGAAAAGTTGCGCCAAGCACATGCTCTCTTTGCCAGAGACGAGGCCAATACTCGATTAGCTGATGCTCACCGAATTCTTCTCAGTATAACGAGAGGAGAGGTAAGCAAGACTAAAGCCATGGCGCAAGACATTGGAAAGTGGGGAGTCGAAGCCAGAAACGAACTGATGGCACATGGCCTCGGGCTCCTCATGATGCGCTTCGCTTACCATGAGTGGAATAGGTTTGGCAGATTAGATACTGCTCTTTCTGCCTGGGAGTGTGCATATGAGGTGTTTGATGCTATCAACGATGTGATTCCAAAATTTCAGACTCTGATGTCTCGGGCAGCGGCGTACCACGATATGTTCAACGACACAGCAGTAAAGATAGTGGCACCCAGGGCGCTCGCTATGATAGATTCTGTCAGTGACACATACGACAGAATCTTGAATGATGCACCCGATACGTCGTTGGGGATGGCTGACCGGAAGACCGTACTTGCGAGTAAGTTCAATACGCTTTGGACGTTTGAGACCAATATAAGCCAAATATTCCTTCGCCTAGAGGATTTCCAAGCCCTCGAAAACTGGCAGAAGAAGCTTTCTGGTTTTGTTGAGCAGGATGAAAGCTTTCAGCACTTTATCGCAACTATCGAGCAGAAAAATGGCTCTGGCCTATCACTCCCCGAATTCGGATACTCCCAGACTAGGCTAAGAGGGTTGTGGAAAGAAACAATGGCTCATCATGCAATCAGACTCAGGTATGCTTCGGCTGATATCAAGAGTCGTGAAGACCTTATGGAAGGAAACGTTGATAGAGCTAGAAAGACTCTTCGCCGCTTTGTGAGCGATGCTGAACAGATGGAGCTGGTTTACACGCGAGATTTGTACCGCATATTGGCTTGTGCTCACATCGGAGACCGAGCCAAAGCCCGGTCTATACTGGACGGCATCAGTGATAACATGCTCTTTGGAGGAAGCCTGGAAGAATATCTCCAGGGGAGGGCGCTTAAAACCACCTTCCCCGCTATAGCTGAGAATGCTCTGATGTTTACAATCCATGGAAACGACTTAGACAGGGCATTCAGGGTAGCCAATCTGATCACAAAAATAGTTCCGGATTTCTTCAGCTGGACCTTCGAGAATATCTACAATTACTCTTACCGACTCGGGAACTATGGCACAATTTTGCTCAATAATCATTGCCCTCAAAAAGCCTTTCGTCACTTACTCGAGGCACGTCAGCTCATTGAGCTCCGCCGTACACATACTACTGATGTTGATGCCAGGATTGGAAACTCAATGTCTAGGTGGACTTACGAAGTATTTTTGGATCTAGCACGCGCCTGTCTTCGTTGCCAGGAGGCCGGTGTTCCGCTGGCCGTGTTGACTCAGTATAAGCATGGACATCCTGGAAGTATCTCCTGGCCAGAACATGCATTGCTTTTCCTAGAAGAAAGCAGAGCTCGTGTTGTACTAGACTCATTACAAGTTGGATCGGGTGACGAAGGAGAGTCTGACAAAAGAATGGCTTTACTTTCGGAAGCCATATATAAGCAACGAGCCCTCAGAGTGCTGCTCGCTCTAGACCGCCCCAGCTCCGAGCAAGAAGAAGAACTCTCTCAGCTTCAGAAAGAGATTGGTGAATTGGAAGGCAGCGGGAGTTCTTCAGCTACTACTGGGTTTATTGCTGCAGCGAGCTCTACAGTTGAGCCCCAGTTACTTTATCAAAATATTAACGATGATGCAGTAGTGATAGAGGCCACCTTTGGGGGTCAAGGCTTTGTGGCATTTGCGATTACCAGGAACGGAATTCAGAAAGTTCACCACGGAGCTGCGCGCTCTGTTGACATGCAGATGCCTGCCATGCGGTTTATGCAGATTCTCAGAGAAATGACCGGGTATCGAGGGGAGGAGGAAGACACCCGCAAGCGGGTTCTCAACGAGTTGTCCGCAGAGATATCCTCAGTATTGTTGACGCCGTTTGCAGGCACGATCAAACTGAAGTCGCATGTCATCTTTTCCGTGTCTGAGCCTTTCACAGCATTTCCTTTCTCTGCCCTTCTCTTCGATGGCAAACCATTGATTGTACATGCATCGGTATCACAAATCCCCAGTCTGACAGTTTTGTACTATGTCTCTCAGCGGCAGTCGGCGTCGCGATTATCGGAACCAACAGTAACGGTGTTTGCGAAGTCGCCTGTCGAATCCTCGTCCGCAGAAACAAGAGCCGGAAATGAGGATGATCTGCACATGGCAGGTATCGAGGCAGTAAACATCGCCCGGATATTCTCCACCTGGCCAATTGAAGCGTCGCGTCTCTCACGAAAGAACTTTCGCGAATATATCAGGGGTATATCGTCCGTCCTACACATCGGAACTCACGGCAAGGTGGATTTCAAGAATCCTCTTATGTCGTCGATCTCGATCGGAGAGGACTTCCGGGTTCTGGATCTATCCGAGATCGAAAGCAAGGCAGATCTCATAGTCTTCGCGGCATGTTTGAGTGGACTCGGAAAAGCAACCATTGGCAGTGAGGTTTTGGCCTTCTCTCACGTCGTGCTTGGCACCGGATGTCAAGCCTTCATGGGTACACTGTGGGAAGTCAGCGACTTTGCATCCATGCTGATGATGACAATCTTTTATCGGAACCTCAAAGAAAAGAAGCATTTCTCACTGGCGGATGCATTGAGGGATGCTCAGACTGAGCTTCTCCACTTTGACAGTTGGAAGGCGAGCCAATTTGTGGATAATCTACTGGAATCATGGACCTCGGAAACAACTAACGACGGAGGTCCTCGTCCTGATGAGTTCGTGCCGGATGCAGAGTGGCTGCTTCAGATGTCCAAGATGATATTGGATCAACTGGACTGGACGAGTCCGTTTTACTGGGCACCATTCATGCTGATGGGCAGTGGCGGACATCGCCTGTCTCATCTGGAGGTTTAGTGACAGCGTTGATTCTACTGTTGAAATTTATCGTATCTCTGCTATAGGTGTAGTGGGTGGATTTAATGATACCGATGATTTTGTAAGTTGAGTTCCCAAAGTATGGCATGCCAAAGAGTTATGAAAGCAGTTCCTGGCTCGTGGAGGAAAAATGAGAGTTGCCCCGAAGGACCGCTACGAGGCAGGGGCACATATTTTTCTATTATAGAAAAAGATACTATCACAATGAACATAATGAATTACCGAGGCAGCCATAGCAAGAAAGGGTAAGATGGAGCTCATTAAACTTGCAAAGCATGCATTGTCTGACCATCCGGTGCAAGTTTGTTCCAGACCGGTTCAGCGACTATGGTAATAAGCCAAGGTAGTCAACCAGATAACGCTTCGCTCTGAACATCTCAGAACCGCGCTCTCCAAACACCGCCCAGATTATTCTCAATACTGAATCCCCTTCACCAATCTTCATAAGCTTCCCCAACCTTTGCAACCCGCTGAAATGTCCTCCCATCTTGTTCATCACGAGCTTCACTCTTCATCGCCCGCAGCAGCACCAGCAGCAGGCGCCTTATCCTCCTCCTCGTCCTTGCCAGCCTTGGCACTCTTAGCAGCCTTCTTGCGTTTCTTGTTAGGAGTCGCCGGTCCGGCTTCGGTGTCAGCTCGCTTCTGCTGGCCTTTCTGGAAGCCGACTCCACTTCCGCTCTTGCGGTATTTCTCCAGGTGTCTTTCGATCGCCTTGGGAGTGGGCTTGTCATCTCCGGCTGTGGATTTGGATTGATTAGCTTCCGAAATCGTGGTATATTGGACATTTATGTAGTAGATCTGGAGGGTTTAGTGGTGAGTTTGACTTACGCCATGCCTGAGCGACTTTGTCCAGGTCGAGGGTGATGGTTTGGGTCTCGAAGATGAGCTTCCAGAGCTGGGAAGCAGAAGGAGAGTCACTGTTAGTATACACCAGAACTGGGAGGGAAGGAGAGATAGGAGGGGAAAGACTGTACAATCTGTTCGTTTTCGTCGGTCCAACGCATCTTGGCGGTTGGCAACTGGCGATTGTCTCGGGTGGAGATGCTGTGGAGTTGTGATCTAGTCCGAAGAGTGTGTTCGATGATATGGGTTACGTAGAGTAGGGGCTTGTAGCTTGTTGAGGGATGACTGGGAGGAGGAGAGATGGGATCAGTGGGTGTCTCAAGGATAAGAGGAGAGAAATTAAGTAGACAAGAGTTTAGTGTGAATGTAGCTTACTAGTTCCACCATAGCAATGCATTCACTAAGGGTTGGAAGACAAAGTGCCGGGGACGTAACACGAATAGAGAGGACTCATGCTGTTTGCGCTGGTCTTCACACGCAGTATCTGTCTCCTTGTGAAGCTGCTGAATTGTCTCTAATGAAGATTTGCTTTGGGGTTGCATATCAAGATCCTTCGTCGAATTGATGACCACAAAAATTATATTCCAGCACAAGCTTCATGGCATCCTTTCTCTAAACTAAGCTCACTATGGCTGTCTTCCTGGTAAACGTATATTTTTTCCATGACTAGGAGGAGATTATCATGGGACTGCCACAGATGAAGAGGGTTGCAGATCTATACAGTGAATGCACGTGACATAGTAGAAAGCCTGAGTGCCTGAGGTCGCCTGGCGATTAGCAATCCGGGCTGCCAGTCCCTTCCATCCATGCATTGTTGAAACACCTTTCTTTCTGCCTACTAACTTTAGTACTCACTATCTTTCTTCAATGTGATTTGATTTATGGCCGGAGTATCTCACTTCTTCCCTTCATTTACCTCTGGGCATCCTTGTGTCCCTATTTTCTAGCAGCTTTAGGCCTCTCTTTTGGTGATCGGTTCTTAAATGTGAATTTCCTGGGTGGCGGAAGTAGTAGCTTGCACCTGCAATAGGTTCCTCGCACATAAATACTTCATACCGTCTTAATATTCTCATCACATAACTTTCACTCGATCATCTGCTTTCTTCCCAGAGTTATCTCGGCTTAGCACTACAGCGCGGATACATTTCAGCTACCTGACTGTCAAGCACATTTGCCACCATGCACGAACTAGATCCGCTCATCTCTGAATACCGCCATGACAAGAGGCGTCCCCGGGCTGACGAAGCACTCCTCATGCTTCAGAAGGTAGCTTCCATAGTCAAGCCTATTATGCGCCGACGACAATGGAAGGTCGGGTTACTGACCGAGTTGAATCCGCAAGATCGACATCTTCTTGGTCTTAATTACAACCATGGCCAAAAGATCTGCTTACGACTTCGTCGTGCTGGGGACGACCGTCAGTTCCTACCCATGGATTCTATTGTAGATACTATGCTTCATGAGTAAGTGAAGCCCCCTCTCTCATTGAATCTCCCAATGCAAAATCCAGTCGCTAACTTATATTGCAGACTCTGTCATATTGTGCATGGACCACATAATCAGAAATTCCATGCCCTATGGAACCAGCTCCGGGACGAGCACCTGGAGCTCACTATGAAGGGTTATACAGGCGAAGGCTTCCTTTCCAAGGGTCATCGCTTAGGAGGTCGCTACATGCCCGTGGAAGAAGCTCGTCGACGGGCCCGAGCCGCCGCCGAGCAGAGACGGTCTCTCTCCGCCGGGTCGGGACAGCGACTCGGCGGCGCATCCATCGCACGTGGTACAGACATGCGCCAAGTCATTGCAGCTGCTGCACAGCGACGCAGCGAAGTGATGAAGGGCTGTGCCTCGGGCGCCGACAATAGCGCCGAGCTGGCAGAGGAGGCGTCCAGAAATGGCTTCCGAACCAAGGCAGAAGAGGACGATGCGAATGAGCGAGCGATCATGGAGGCGGTCATCGATCTCATTGAGCAGGAGGAGCGCGAGAAGTATGGACCTTCGTATATCCCTCCAAGTCAGGAGAATCCTGCCGGTCCTCGTTCTACACTATCCCCGCCTCCGACTGCAGATGGCAGCAGGCCGGACGCATCGTCGCATCAGCAGAACCCGGAGAATCTGATATCAGACGATGGGTCGTACAACCAGCCGTGGTCGTGTCCGACCTGCACGCTCGAGAACCCTGCTGAGTTTCTTTGCTGTGATGCCTGCGCCTCGGAGCGGCCGCGGCCTTCGACGAACCGATCCGTATCTGAACCTATCATAACCAGTCCGGCCAATGTAACAGACAAGAGTAAGAGCAAGAGCAAGAGCAAGAAGCGGCCAATCGGCCAGTCCCCGTCGTCCCCTTCGCAAGGTACTTCCAAGAGCAAGGGCCGTGTCAAAACACCCTCGTCCACGGAGCCAGAACAGGCGAATAAGCGGCGATTGGGGCGGACGTGTCGGGCTTGCGGCTCATTCATGGAAATTGAATGGGCGTTTTGCTCCAGCTGCGGAACAGCAAAGCAGGAGTCCTAATTTTGGCAATCCCTTCGGGGTTTCATCACTTAGCATAGGCGTTGGTGTCACAAATTTCGCTTCGAGAGAGATACCATGACTAGCAATATTTTCCATCGAGACTCGGGGAAAGATAATTTCAACCTCTATAAATTTCCTACGAATGTCGAAAGAGAAGATCCATCTCATGACAAATGTTGCTCGTAACTGATCACCTCTTGACTGAGCAGAGTTACTGTCCTCCAAAAGCATGCGTAGCTCTCAACCTAACAACAAGGACAACCACAACCCTACTTCCCGGCTCTCGCGGTAACTGACAGATTTTGAGTTAGCACAAAATACTATTTCCAATCACCGAACCTTGAATTCGAACACATGCAGGTTTATAAGTACTAAGCTGTTGACTTGTTACCCAAATCAGTAACTCATAGTTAGTAAGTTTAGTTAAGTTAACTAACTAACTATCCACCATCCAGCTGACTAACTACTGACTAAGCGGGCTCCCACCTCCCCACTCCCGGCCCAACCATTCCGCCGAGCAAACCCAGCGAATAATTTCTTCCTCCCAATAATTTTCCCATTTCCTTTTTCCTTTCCAGCTTCCCCCACGCAACCACAAAAGCTGCACCTGGCAGCTGCAGCGTCTGACCATTTATGCTTTGGTCACAGAACACCACACAGCCAGCCCATTCTCCCACACACACACACACACACCACCTTACACAAACTAATCCAACTAATCAGGTATGCCATTTACCCCCTCCACTCCCCATCCCCTACATCTCTTCGCACCCGAGAATCAAAACCAAGCAAATCTGCCCAAAACCCAAACCCCAAAACATGCCCGAGGATTGGGGCCAAGCTACAGAACAACCTATATGATGAGAGCTTTGCAATCAAGAACCGGTATATTAGGAAGAGCCGGAAGAGGTATGACAGGAAGCCAACGTTGTTTCACTGTCGTCGATGCTTATAATGGTTCTGCTGAGTGGTTGTTTCTGCGGCTTTGCTTCTTCTCCTCGGTCATTGTTTGATGGTTCGTGTGGGTGAGCCCGGATTGGAGGGTTTCCTCGGTTCTTGATTTCTTTTTTTGCTTCGCTTGGATTGTTGGGGTTGTGCGCATTTTTTTCCCGACCTGATCTGGGCCTGGATTGTTGTACGCTTGATGAGTGCGTGATTGTTGTGTCTGTTGCATTGCTGACCGACTACTCAGATTAGGTTCTTTAATTGATGAAAACTGCTGGGCTGTAGAGTGCTGGGCTATATCATGATTAGTTAGATACAGACAAAGAAATCAAGACAATATGTTCGCAATGCGTTTCTTTCCATGAATCTTGCTTAAATTGATCGTATCAACTTTACATGGAGTCTAAGTCGAACCTATCATAACCTTCCGGATATAGAACTTTTCATGCTTAACCAAAAAGAGAGGACCCATCAACAAGTCTGAAACGCCAAACACATGCACGTGTACAGATAGTAAAAACAAATCAACTTGAACAGAACGTGCTCAAGCAATGCTGATGAACTGCCGCTTCTTGCCCGTACCGGTCATGCCCTCCTTTTCCTCGTAGGCGGCCTCGTCAATGTAGTCCTTCGTGCTCGACTCTTGGATCTGTTGGCCAACGAACTGCAGCGCGGACATGTTGAAACCCATCTCGTCCTTCTGGCGGGCCAGCACCCGACGCAGACTGGCGCGGATGCCGTCGAGCATCGGCCGCATCATCTTGCTCGCGACAATCTGGCGATGGTGCGTCTTGAGAATGAAGAAGAGGACACGGCAGGTGAGAGGAACATTCCATTCACGACCGGCCCAGATGTTCAGGAACGTGAACAAAGCCGGGATTTTCGAGAAGGGCAGAACCAGCAGGGCATCCTGAAGAGCAGCAGCGGGGATCTTCTGGACAACGTTCAGCAAATGCCTTTCGGCAGAAACGTCTCCCAATGCCATGTACAAGGGATTGCGCTTCGGAGGAGCTGCGTTGGGCTGCTTCGCCTTGATAGCACGCCACTCGCGCACAACCTCCAGATCCTCCATTCCCAGATCCAGGGCTTCGATGACCTTCTCTCCGGCCATGAGCGTGGCAGACGTCTGCTTGCCAGCATCGACGGCTTCAGCCTTCTCTCCGTCTTCTCCATCCTCCTGCTCGAGGGAGGCCGTGAGGGAGTTGTCGTACATCTCTTCGAGCTCCTTCTCCCGCTCTTCTTCCAAGAAAAGTTGCTCGTCGGTCTGCTCCCAGGTGCGGATACTCTTGTCATGACTGGCAGTGACAATGAACTCTCCGGAGTGACTGATAGCTAGCGCCCAGATCTCGCCGTGGTGCCCAGCCAGCTTTTGAATATGTTCAAATTTGTCACCGTCCCAGTACTTGATCAAACGATCCTTGCTAGCACTGAAGAAGTTGTGGCCATTCCCTTCTTTGTTGTTCGGAACGAAAGCAACGGCCATAACACTGTCTTCGTGTGCCAAGAATGACTTGTGACAATCACCGAAATCGAGACCCCAGACACGTGCCGTCTTATCAGCTGAGCATGTAACAATCAACTTGCTGTCCCACGAGATGTCCATGCTAAGGACCGGGAGTTTATGGCCGTATAGGTTGAGGAACAGTTTAAGCGAATCGACGAAGAACACCTTGACGGTATTGTCCAAGAGGGCCACAGCAAG